TGCCCAGATTCGGCAATTTGATCTGCTTCTTCTTCCCTTCGGCAACTTGCCAGCCGTCGGCCGGAGGAGGGGCAGAAGGTGGCGGGGCAGGGGGCTCCCCAGGGAGGAAAAGAACATCTTGATTGCCGCCCTTGACTGCCGATGACGATGTGCCGACGGTCTGGACCGCCGGGCGCCCACTTGGCACAACTTCTGTGGGTTGAGCCTCTGCTTTCTTGGGAGCAGGTGCTGGAGTTGGCCCGCGATGTGGCATCGCTGGCTCCTTGACCGTAAGCTTCTTGGGAGCAGGAGTCTCGGTCTTTTCCGGTGCTTTGGCCGTCACCTTTTCTGAAACAGCAGTCTCAGCCTGTGCAGCCGGGACCTGCGGTGCCGGCACCTTGGCTGGGAGACGGGAGAGATCAGGCGTCGCGGCAACCAGCTTCTGCTTTCCCTTGTCCTTCTTGGTGGGTTTGACGACAGGAGGGGGAGCACGAATCTCGGCATCAACTGCCTGTGCCGGTGAGTCCAGTTTCTTCGGCAACTGCCCGACGTTAGCCCAATCACCAGCTTCATCGTCGTCATCGAACTTCTTCATGAGTTCATCGCAATCGTGTTTCCAGTCCGGCTTCTGTGGGCCGGCCTGGACGTGAGGAGATGGCGCCGGGTTCGGACTACGCCGGCGTTGTGCGTCAACCCAGGCCTGCGTGTCATCAAACCCGAAATCGCTGGGTTGGATGGTGCTCAGAGGGCTGAATAGACTGGCTTTGACAGTCTCTGTGGCGGGCATGTCCCTGGCAGCCTGGGCCGGTGTGTCCCTGCCTCTGGGCAAAGACACGCCCCAGACATGCTCATCTGCGGCAACCTGTGTAGCAGACTGCGCCAATGTGTATGAAGGCCTATGATGACCTCGCAAAGACAAAGATCCGCCTCCCCCGAGGGGACCGATCTTGTCACTCGCATATACCTCGTCCCATGATGACTGGCTCTCCCTTGCATGTTTTTTTTCATCGAGACGACGGTGCATCTCGTTGTTCTTAACATCGCAATCTTTCTGAGACTTGTAGTACTCCTGATATTCAGGAGCGGGGTACCGGCCTCGCTTGTTGGCTGTCCCTTTCTGACGTGCAGTGTTGATTTCGGCACGGCAGTCACCTTGAATACCGGCTGTGAACAGTTCGATTAGCATGCGTGGAACCGACTGAGGACGGAAGTGATATTGAATGTTATTGACTTACGATCTGCCATCAGACGTGTCCAGGCGAGAAGATGGAGAAAATTGACCGAGACTTGATCGGGGGCCAAGTCCTGATTGTAATAGAGGTCCCGGCAGACCTCTTCGATTGTCTCGGCAAAGCGATCCTCGATGTCTCTAAGACGAATGATGGGATCTTCCTTCCTGAGGATAAGGTAATGGATGCTTTTTGCGCGGATCTTCTGCGCTTCGCGAGACAAGAGCTCGGCTGAATAGAGAGGGCGCGATGCCTCCTCTGGTCTTTGATGGTGGCCGTGGCCACTGTTGAGTTGCAATGTCATGATTAGGTCCGTCTTATCCTTGCACTGCGATATGTTTTTGTTTTGTTGTGATGTGAAGGTGAAAGAGTGTGGGACGCGCAACGATCGAGTTGTACGTGAAGGAGAAAAGATAAAAGTCAAGGCGGGGTAAAAGGGCACGTAGTGGTCAGCTGTCTACCACCGTCTGCCACTCGGACAAATTACCTCTGAGTGGAGAGAGCTCGGCAGGCAGCAGTTCTTTTTACCCATTCAGTCTCCCATGGTAAGGTTTCCAAAGCATGACGGTATGTAACAAAGATAGCTATCTACGAGATAAAGTCTACGTACATCTACCGCTACTGCCTGTATCATTCCGCAATGGGACGTGGAGGGGTGATATCTATGTTGGAAAGCATTACTGCTCATGTTCGAGAGTCGCCTTGAAGCCTCCAGTCACTTTCCAGTCCTTCAATATTTCTGACAAGCGCTTCTTCGTCCTGTTGAACTTGAATCCATGCTCTGTAACCTGGCGTACAATGCGGAAGACGTTGCTACATCTTTTTTGTTGTCATATCCCAGTCTCTGGAATGATACAGTTCGTCTCCTCGACCAGTTGAAGTAGAAGCTGGAGCAATAAGAACCTAGAGGTATTCACCTTGAAGCCTTCAGTCACTTTCAGTCCTCCGATATTTCTGATAAGTGCTTCGTCCTGTTGAACTTGAACCCAGGGGCAAGCTCTGTAACCTGGCGTACAATGCGGAAAACGTTGTTGTCATGTCCCAGTCTCTGGAATGATACAGTTCGTCTCCTCGACCGGTTAAAGTGGAAGAGCAATAAGAGCCAGGTATTCACCTTGAAGCCTCGAATGACTTTCCAGTCCTCCAATATTCCTGACAAGCGCTCTGTCCTGTTGAACCCATGCTCTGCAACCTGGCGTACAATGCGGAAAACGTTGCTACATCTTTTTGTTGCCGCATCCCAGTCTCTGGAATGATACAGTTCGTCTCCTCGACCGGTCGAAATGGAAGGGCAATAGGAGCTTGTTGACCTTGAAGCCTCGAATGACTTTCCAGTCCTCCAATATTCCTGACAAGCGCTTCGTCCTGTTGAACTTGAACCCATGCTCTGTAAGCAGGGGTACAATGCGGAAAACGTTGCTACCTCACATGTCGCTTTTTGTTGTCATATCCCAGGGGCAGTATCTGGAATGATACAGTCCGTCTGCTCGGCCAGTCAAAGTGGAAGGGGAATAGGAGCATGTCTTATACAAAGAGTATCGAAGCAAGCGACGCTCCCGAAGATGGGAGGTGTGAACACTGGAACACGACGGTGGTGTTGATGTGTTGTTGATGGAAGGTGTGAACACTGGAACACGATGGTGGTGTTGATGTGATGTTGATGGGAGGTGTGAACACTAGAACACGACGGTGGTGTTGATGTGCTGTTGTGGATGGCATTGAATATGTTGATCATAGAGTAAGGCATAATGAATCACCGGGATAAAGGCTAGGAGATTGGATTGCTGCTGGAGACAAAGGATAAGGTAACACGATGGGATACGGAGAGCGAGATGAAGAGTCAAGTAGAGAAACAAAGATGTCACATTCTCACACAACAATTCACATGCGATATAAACGAGTGCCTTGATTAAACTACTTGGAGGGAGGGGATTCTGCCCTTTCTATCTGACCCAACGTAATGTTGTTCACCCTGTCAGGATGAACAAAAAGAGCGTCACGGCTAGAACCTGGCTCTGGTCTGCCTGAATGCTCCACAGGATTTCTCTGCGGGCGAGAACGAGAGGCTTGTCTGTCTGATTGCTCTGTAGAGGTAGCAGGCCGACCAGGCGCGACTGACTGTTCCGCGTGTATGGTGCGCGAAGGAGTCCGGCGACCTCGGTTGCGAGGTGTTTCTGGACCTCGATTACGAGAAGTCTGCCGGCCTCGGTTGCGAGAAGTCTGTCGGCCTCGGTTGCGAGGGGTCCTCTGATCTCGATCGCGAGAAGGCTCCCGACCTCGACTACGAGAAGTCTGCCGATCTCGATTGCGGGAAGTCTGACGATTGCGAGGAGTCCTCTGATCTCGATCGCGAGAAGGCTCCCGACCGTAATTGCGAGAAGATTCCCGACCATGTTTGCGAGAAGTCTGCCGACCTCGATTGCGAGAAGATTCCCGACCGTGATTGCGAGAAGATTCTCGATGGCGAGAAGTCTCGCGACCTCGAGAGGATTGTCGATTGCGAGAAGTCCCCTGATCTCGATTACGAGAAGTCCGCCGACCTCGATTGCGAGAAGCTTCTCGATTGCGAGAAGATTCGCGACCTCGATTACGAGAAGTCTGCCGACCGTGATTGCGAGAATATTGTGGGTCGCGGGAAGATTCGCGACCTCGATTGGGAGGAATCTCCCGACCTCGGGTAGAAGAAGTACCCTGTCTGCCCGAAGTGCCAGAAGTGTCCTGACTCGGGTTGGCAGAAGTGTCCTGACTCGGGTTGGCAGAAGTGCCAGAAGTGCCCTCGCTGGGCTGGCCAGAAGTCTCCTGGCCCGAAGTGCCCTGACCCAGATTACTAGAAGCCTCCTGGCCCTGCTTGCCATACGTCTTGGGCTTCCTCGGAGGAATCTTGACCTTTGGAATCTTAAGCTTCGTGCCTACGCGCTTAGGGCCAGCGGGCTTGGCTGCCTCTGCAGCCGCTGGAGCACTCGAAGTAGTCGGCGGGTTGCGACTCTGGTCGTGCTGTGGATTGGCCAACCTAAAGTCACGCACATCTTGCCTGTCAACGGGTAGCTCGGGGTACCGGACAAAGTCGTACATGTCGGGTAATTCGAATCTGGCGTACACCAGAGTGTATGGCTCGGAATCGGAGACAGTCCAGGACGTCGGGAAATAGTCCGTCTCCGTGCAGGAACCGCTCATGACGCCATTGGGCCGGTATAAGCGCACGGCATCGTGCCCATCGGGGGTGCCTCTAAGCTTGACCACTGCTATTAGGCGATAGCAAGTCTCGTCTTGCACGACGTAGCGATCTTGGTCGTCGAAATCATAGAGCTGGACAGTGAAGCCCCTGATCTGATCATACAGGTTCTGGACTTGGTGACCGCGGGGTGCATATCGAATGGCAAGAATTTCGGGTGCTCCGAATTCTGTAAACATCTCGGTGTATTCCGCTTCAGACGACTCATCGACACGGTGGTACCCGATATTGCTGACGCATTCCGCTAGGGTGATATCGCCCGACCAGTACAAGCGCAGGCGTTGCTCCGTCACTCGATACCATGTTTTAGCTCGATCGCAGACCATGCAGAGACTGAGTGTCAGCATCTCCGGCTGGGCCCAAAAGTCGGACATGAATTCCCGAGGCGAATCAAGCAACGTCTGAAACGGGGGGTTGCCGTTCCTTGCTGTTTTGTTCTTGCTGTACTCATCCAAGAACTTGCCACGCAGGACGTCTGTCGCCTCTGCTCCGGCTTTGTCATAGTCCAGCCAGACTAGGCCCCAAAATGACTTGGTGAGGTCGTCGCCTTCCTTGGCCCAGTTGAGAGTCAAGTCGCGACGCCCCTGTGGGAGGTACGACACCACGTGTCGCATGACCGCGATGAGGCAGTCCAGCCCGGACGGGCGGAGCTCCAAGTGAGTCTTGGGAGGCCACTGATGGCGAAGGTAGCCATCGATCATGTTTTTGGATTGCCAGCGCGCGGGCAGGGTCAATGCCATGGTGGTATCTTTGGGCGCAGCGCCCGGGCGTTCGTTCGGGTCATTCATTGTCTGCAATGACTGGAATTTGTTAGATGAGGAGGATGTTTGAGGTGCCTAACAGACTTACGATAACGGGTGAGTGATTGTGTTGTGGGTGAAGTGGTGTGAGAAGAAAAGAGCGGGTGCTAGGTGCGGGAGAGATGGGACCTGGGCTGCAAACGGCAAACGGAGCGTGGTCAAATCACCTGATTAACGGGTGCATAAAGTCTGTGCTTGGGGGGGTCTGTGCTTGGAGGAGGACAGGACTGCATCCTTTGACGCACGTGTTGTTGTCTGCTTATTGGCATTGAGAAGAGGAAATGTCCGCCGTTTGAAGTAATAAGGGTCTGTGATCGTACGAAAACATCTAATGGGTGTCCTCTAATGCCTTGTTCAGTGGACAACCTGTTAACAAGGATGTGGAGGTTTAAAGCGTTCACGGGGGGACGTCACTACAGGTACACAAGGGCAGGCAGGATACACACAATCAACAAGAAGTTTGGACTCGCGAGCAAGAGTGATCTAATTCAGTCTATTTTCTTGACTCATTTTCTTCCATAGGCGTTGGGCGCATGGGATAACCCGTGCGAAGGCAACGTAGCAGCTCCTCAAAGCCCGAGTTCTTCGACTCAGGAAACACCTCCTTGAGGACTTCGTAAACGACGGTTCGTGGCACAGATATCATGCCGTGAGCGACATGCACGCCATAGTCCAGATTGATGCCAAGGTAAAACGCGAAGGAGCCCACGTCGTCATTGCTAGCCTTGCTCGAAAGGCCAGAAAAGGGGATTCCGGAGACAACGTCCACTGCCTTGACGGTCGATGACGCAGTGAAATGCACCAGGTTATAAAGGTGGACTAAGAGCAGATCTCTTTCGATTGCGTCTGCGTCAACCTGGTTCCCGTCATCACTTTGTGTGGGAGGAACCAGCTTTCGGAGACTGGAAACGCGGTCGCTAATGCGACTGTAGAGCTTATGGGCAACTTTTATCAAGGTGCCGGTAGACAGCTTGATTGGCTTCTCGAGATCTTCTGGCTGAAAGTTTTGGTCCAGATAATCACGGACAGCCACTGTTGTGTAAAGGGCTCCGCGAGTGACCAGAGGTCGGGCCCATCCGGCGACGATTCCAGCGTTTTCAGAGGTGACTCCTTGGTCTTTTGGGTCAAATGCGACCAGTGTTTTCCTGCCATGGTCGAAATGAAGCAGCACACCAACCGTGTGTAGCACTGCATCCAGCGTGGGACGCGAGGTGGTGGGTGTGATGGAGGAAAGAAGAAAGGCAGCCGCGAAGCTGCTTGCTGGGACACGCCGGAACTGCGCCGTCAACCGCTGGCCACGATCCGTCAGCGCGTATCCCCCACTCGAGATCTTGTGAACAAGGCCCATTCTGAATAGCCGTGAGGCCAACTCGCAGGTCATGAATCCGTCGTGGGGCAGAGCAAGCAGGCTCTGGCTGGGATATGCAAAGTGTTGGAATAGATTGATGAGCGTGGACATGATTTCGCTGCCCCAGGCGGGCTGCACAACATCGTCTGCAGGGATGTCTTCGGGGATCGGCTCATTGTCAAAGCACGCGATTTGGATTTCTGTCACCATGTGACAGGAGCCTCCGACTCGGAGTGCCGAGATGATGTCGTGGTATTGAATCCTTGACTGGGTCTTGACAATATGGCTCGAGGATGGATCAAAAAAATGACGATCCATTTCTTGTGGCAGAATGTATATCGTTTGGCAGTTAGAAGGGAAGGGCTGCTGGAAACGAACGTCGGACGTGGCAAAGACAATCGTAAAGCGACGTCCGTCTGACCTGGAAAGGGCCTCCCTATCAAGATACTGGAAGACTCGTTCGTTTATCGGGGACCAAAACACCTGTTGGACTTGGTTCTGAATGGCGCGATCACATTTTGCGCGGATACGTGCCATGATTGCGTCGCGCTCAGGCCAACCACTGACCGGGCACACGATGACGAGCTTCTCAAACGAAGGCGTCCGATTCGGATGAGTCAGAGCGCGGATAACGAGGTCGCTCGTCCAATCCACTTGTGTCGTGCCCTTTGGGTTCGGGCATACCACTGGCACAACTTGTGGCTGAAGATGAGGGCGGCGCCTCCAATCACATATGTAGTCCTGAGGCTTGACTTGAAATTCCTTTTGAATTTTAGCCTCTGACCATGCGTGTTCGGGTGAAGCTGATACGGCCAGACAGGTGATGGCCAGCTGACTTGGTTCTTGAGTGGTGAACATAGCCTTGATGCGTTCAAGAACGAGTGCCAGAGAGCTGACGGCCGACGCGGTTACCCAACCACAATTGAGGTCAAACACAATCAAGGTACGACGCGTGATTGTGACGGCTTTGAGCTCCGAAACAGTGTTGTAGTCGACAACGCATAGCGTGTTGGGTTGCGAGACGACCTTGTTGCGACTTACGCGGCACCCGACCAGCGCGTTCTTTAGATAGTCGGTCGCGTCAATTACGCTGCGCTGGTTGGGAACAACGTAAATGAAGCTGAACAGATTGCTGTTTTGCGAAGCGCCCTTGTCGAGGTCCTTGACTTGCGTGTGCAGGTGTGCGAGCAACATGTGCGCTTGCGAAAGAGTTGGTTGCCCGCATCTGACATGGCCAAAATGGACACCGCGGCTAGCCAGCTGCGGCATGTGGTGAGCATCCGATTCAGCGGACATTGTGACGATGGATTCACGTTGTGATGTTGTTGTGAGGAAAGAAACAAGGCCTGGAACTACTGCACGGGAAATGTCATTTGCACAGGCGGCGTCACATGACCAGGAAGGGCAACAAAAAAGTCACGCAAGGCAAACATACTGGAGCAATACACAAATCTGCATTTGCAAGTCCTGAATAGGTATCTAGTAGCTAGTTCCTCAATGGCCTAGTCCACGTTGTGGTATCCCGAGTTTGGAAAGCAGATTCGAGATCTTCCAGACGGAACGAGCGAAAGTCTGTGACGTGGAGGTCGTTTAGAGTAGAGGCAGGTATACTTGAGGTTTGGCAGGGCCGTGTTTTCCGTTGCCCATATATAGAGGAAGCACGAGAAGCATCGTGGGAGCCGTCATTTCGGCTTCCATTGTTTACCTCTACGTCCTCTAGCAACTTGGAGTTATGAGCTTCGATCGGCATTTTGAGGTATTGGAACGTCAAGGCCCTGACCGGGAAGTTCAGCTCCGGCATATCAGCAACGCTCGAATGCGGGGCTGAGAGCTGATTGTTTTCAGCCTCTCCAAGTCGTGCAGGTGAAGAACCAGCACCTGCGTTGTCGGGCTCTGCAACGGGAACATCTCCGTGCCTTTCCCCGCTGTCTGACTGCACGACTTGCTGGGGATCATGCTCCTGCATGACATGTTGCTTTTCTTGATGCTTGGAGGTATCATGCCGCTCCTCTGTATGAGCTTCTGGCTCAGCCGGCTGTTTTGCGTGATCAACGTGGCCTGAATCAGCCCGGATGACGCGACGGTCCTTGCTTGGCCTAGCTGCCTGCGTCTGAGTATCCGGAATTCTCGAGGGTGACCGAGATTGGTTCTGTCTCTGTCTTTTTCTCTGCGGCGACCGGGTCACCGATTGACGCCTCTTTGTACTCCCGGTCGAGTTTGGTTTGAAACCGGGCTTGGAGATGTGCTGGGTTGCTGGCACAACCACCTGCGAGGGCGTCGCGGCCTCGGCAACGGACGGTGGCTGCGCCTGCTGGGAGCCGGACGGCGGCTGCGCCTGGGCTATGGCAGCCAGCTTTGCTTGATGGGCGCTTCGCTCCAAGTCGTGGAGATACATTCGGTCACGGACCTGGGAAAAGTCTTTGCCGGTAGGGAACGTATCGTTGGGCCTGGAGCCGTTGACGGCTTTGGCTGTTAGCGTTGTAGACATCCAAGCGGGGAAGCCAAAGGGACCCATTTGATCCAAGGCCTCCCTCAAACAGACAAGATGCCGCTTGTGCACTTTGTAGGGTTGGAACGGATCTTCGCTCAAGGTTCCCGCCCTGTCGGGAATCTGGCTCTTGGTCTTCTTCTTTGCCGCTTTTTCGAGCAGCTGCTCAATGCGCTCAAAAAGCATGTTCCAATGAGATGGAGCATATCCAGCCTGCTGGCCATTGCTCTTGACCTCCTTTCGAATCTCGACGATGCTTCTACGGGACTGGGAGGTCCTTTGGTCGCGAGACAGAGCCTGCATCTGCTTGGGAAACTCGTCCCATACAGGCGTTGCCATGGGCCAGCACCTGCGATCGTCAGTCTCGACCATGACGACGTACTGCAGGGCCGTAGCCAACAGCTTGGTGTCTCCCGCAAACATGGCATGCGGAAGGAGAGCATGCATCTCCTTGCAAAAAGGAGCACTCCAGATAAGGGTTTGCTCCCCATCTTTGGAAGTGCTATTCTGCCCAAAGTCATATTCCATGTCGTTTCTGGACAGGATATGCTCGGGTAAACAGCGGAAGAAGAGCAAACACGTCTTGGTCAGCGTTTGAATGTCTTTGTTTGTTTTTGTTTCAATCTGTTTATCCCGTGTTGGGTCATCGCGCCACTTGCGGTGAATTCTCTTGTGGTCTTCCTCGGTCCAGTCCTCGGAGCGAGGGACCCAGGGAAGGATCTCATTGTTGAGAATGTCCATGTTGACGGCTCCGGTCTTGTACTTTCGAACCCAAGTATGAGCCCGCGACTTGTGATCGGGAAGCGCCTTGAGAAATTCTCTGGTTGGCTCGACCATCTCGACGGAAAGATGGGCCGTAAAGGTTCGCGCAGTAATTCTGCCTCCCTGCTGTCCGTCTGCCTCGTCATCAGACTCTAGAGGGGTGCTGCTGTCCCCTCTGTCAACGAACTTGGACGAGGATGTAGAGTTGCGCGCTGGCCTCTTCTTTTTGACCCGGTCGACGGGTGAATTGTGGTTTTGATCGCCGTCCACGTCCACAATCTCTACGTCAGAAGGAGGCGCCTTTCTCTGGGGTAGCTCGATGACGAGCCTAGAGCTCTGTCTAGCGGACCGCTTGGGTCCAGGACGTGGATGTTCGCCTTCAGATTGGCTGTCGCTAACGACGAGGCCATCTTTGGATGCGCCGGTGCGCGACGGAGGAGCTTTCGGTGGCATTGGACGTTGATGCGTCTTGGCTTTGACCAGCGGGGTGTTTTCGTCGTCTTCGTCGTCGCTTGGGATGTCGTAGATATCTTTGACCGATTTCTTGGGAGCCATGGTTGCAAAGTGGTGCGCCAAATGAGTGCTTGCAACGCGTGGTTGGTCAGTTTGGTACCTGAATGTAGGTAATGAAAAACGGGCAGCGGGGTCGGGTTTGCCTTGGCCGTAGGGAGACGAAGCCTGAGGCAACGACACACGAGACCACACAGGGGCAAGGGGCATACAAACACAGCCGGCGGATTACAGGGTTGAGGTTGCCATAGGTCGCAGAGCGTTAAAGGGCATGGGATACCCGATACGGCGGAATTCTTTCTTGCAATCTGCCGCATCCATTGGCTACCACTACCTGTCTACCTATCCGACCAGAGTCACCTTCCACCCAAAGCATACCTATGCGAGATTTGTGTCAAATCGCAATGGACAGCCAACATCATGATCCAAACGAGCAGGTATTGGCCTTTGTGCCGAGATAAGCCAACGAGGCCGACGTAAAATGACATGTCGTTGAATCGGGTATGTGCGGGCGCAGGGGCCATGTAGAGCAAACAGAGCCTCAAGCCTCCCGTCGGCCCACAAATGGGTTGTTTGTGCTGAGGATGCATAGGCAGGGGAATGCATGCACCACAACCGCATCGAACAGGCGTTTCATTGTTGATAATGACTTGAAGGGTACATGCAGTGATAGGAATTGTGGGAACGCTATTGTATGAGGCGATAATGCAGGGACGATGCAGCTGAGGTGCTCAGAAGATCCGAGGGGAAGGCTGAGGAATTGATGGATAGGCTGATGGAAATGTGTAAGTGATAGTACACTGGCGTTTACAGGGTGTTATAGCGCCTGTGCATTAACAGGCTGACATTTGAACTCCCTAGTGGGCCAATTCCATCCCATGTGGGGATGTACCCCTGACAGCCGCGCAGACAATCGTTGTTTTCGGCTGATGTTGAAAATGATCTTGGCTCTATGCGTTGTCTGTCCACTTGTATGCATCTTATTTTTACATCCCAGTCCGTTCGAACCCAACGCATTCTACCGAACCTAATAACGGGAATCATGCAGGTACACAGTCGAACGCCGTACACCGTTACCGTTGCCGCGGCGCCAGCCTCGTGTGTAATCCCTGAGAAACCGAACTCCAGGCCCTGGTAGCTAGACAACTTGTACCATCACATAGCGAAGTGGCGCAAAAACATCGGACACTACTGTTGAGCCGAGACACGAAGCGATACTGGGACAATGACAGCACGACCTCAAGAGAAGGAGAGCTACATACACGGGCGTGACAGTGATTGGAGATTCGGACAACATGCCCTGTACAAGCTGTGATCTCCCCAGACCCGTACCGTGTGGCTACTTAGAGTATTGCCTTCTCGGCTATTGGATTACCGGGATTGTAGGAGCTGTGGACTTTGAGTATTGTAGATGTACCTGACTCTGCCATGGCGTTCTTGTTGCCAGGCACACGTGCGCATAGGCCTTCTTGCGACCTTGTCCATGTCGGCCCCTTGACTGTACTGTCCGTATCCGGCTCGGTGGTTGCTGGTGATTTGCGGCTGCTAGGCCGCTTGGACCTTGTGAGTTGGGATTCGGTTGTCGAGAATGCCGGTAGTAGAGATTGTGTCGCGTCGATTCAAAATCGTGTAGGGTCGACTCGAGACTGGTATCTAGGACAAATCGCTATGCGGAACGCGCATCAGTGGGTTAGCTAGCCGGTCAATACAACGTAGGATAAGAGCAAAGGACTTATGAGTGGCCTGCTTGGCTTGGTCAATGACGTGTGGGAAGAAGCAGTGTCGGTAGCGGTTGCTGGCAATCGTGTTGGCATCTGACCTCGCAGCTGACGATAGAATCTCTTGGACAGGTCCATGTGGTAGACAGTGTCATCTCGTAGGTGTGCGGAATCTGTTGAGAGATGGTGGGCAGTGGTGACGGGGAGGGAATGAAAATTGATTCGCAAGGATTTAGTGTGCAGCCTTGTGGTGTCTTGATGCAGCCTACGCCGAAGTGGAAACACGCTGGGTGGGTCTTTTTGAATGTACAAGTAATAGTATCACCACTAGCTGTAGGTGCCCATAGTGGACTTGTGTTAACACAATCGACCTTGTGTACCAACCATGCCAACACCGTAGCCGAACCCGACATTGGCCCAGTCAGCCGAGCCACAATAACCTACAGACCGGTACTCCGAGTTTCCCGGCACAACCGCCAATGACCGACATTTGGCAACGCAACGAATGTCTGGAATCATCAAGCAGCACCACGCGAACACAAAGAGCTAGAGCTTTACCAGATGCGACGTCCGATAATAGTATAATCAGCCGATCAGCAAAAGTCACCAGACTGGAAGACTGCCTAGGCGACGGGGCCTCTAGCTACGTCACATACAAACTCTAACAAGTCTTTGGCAAGCGAGAACTAACCAGGATCGAACCTCCCAGATAGCTAGCAAGTATATACCAAACCGCTATGTCGACATCCCGGCGCAGGGCCGTTTCCCGACCAGCCAAGTACTATGCCCAACCAACTCGGTCCACAGCGACGGTCGGCCTTACTCGGCGTCGGTAGACAAAACCGAACAGCATGGTTATGTGACCGTTGTTGGGAGCTAATGGGGGGCAGAGCTACCACCAGAAACATGTCAACGACTGGACCTACCAAGAGCAGTTAGGCGAGAAGCCACGGAGAGGACGTGTCAAACATTCCTGGCAAGAGGCGGATGTGCTCAGAGGCCGTCGAGGTTCTGTCCAGACGAAAAGTTGTATCATAAGGGCACTACATAGTTGAAAACATGCATTCCGTGACAACCTGACACCGTCTTCGCAACATTTACACGCGGGGGCCTCTCACCGGCCCCCTGCACCCCCCTGCCCGGAGCTAACCCCTAACCCTGACTAGAAGTGATGGGCGCCTTTGACAGGATGTATCGAAATATGGCAGTCGCGATAGTTGAACTTTGGGGAAGAGGAAAGAGCGATGATGGGCAGGACCAAAAGAGAGAAAATTTTCGTGTCAAGGCTAAAGCACCTGGCAGTGGTGAATCTCTTGTGGTCATGGCGAATTTACACAACAACGTTGATTCATTCCAGACCAGCAATCACCATGAACACCTTACCAAATCCAGTGGCGGCCACGGCCAAGATTCCCCTGCTTTCGGGACCCAGGTACGAGTTTGCCAAGGCTCTGCAGAAAAAGGCGTCGTACTTTGAGCTGGCCCTGTTGTTTGACCCGATGTTGGTCGAGCACTTGCGAGTCAGAAGGGCCAGCGGTCACATCGACCTTGACGACTGTTGCCCTCTCTTTAAGGACGCAAAGCGCGGCCGGGGAGACATGTTCCAGCTGTTTTACTCCATCCCGAGGGAAGTCCTCGAGGCGGTTGTGCTTGGCACGGTCGCCTACGATGATGCAGGCACTATACGTGTTGCAGGATCAGGGGGCATGAGCTACAGTCTGGACGGCTGTGGAGTTTATGTCGTCGGGATTTCCCTTGAGGGGAAGCAAGGCGCGTTCCTGAATGGAAACGAACTGGTCACATTTGTGCATAATCTGACAAAGTACATTGCCGGATGCGAGTTGTGGACACAAGTGAAAAACAACCTCAACATGGCCGCGCCGCTGTCGCGCCAACAGCAAGACAAGATCGATTTCATACTCGAGGTGGAGAATACCTACGGAACGTGGGATCACAAGGCAGAGGGCAACCTGAGGTTCTGCTACAAGGACAAGTCTTTTTCCAGGGTCAAACATTTGTTGCGGTCTTTCAGAGACAGAGCCAAAGAAGCAATGCGGCTTGACCCAACAGGGCGCACAAGGACAATTCAGTCGCCGCTGTACGTGGGCTGCAGCAACAACTTGAAACAGCGCGTGGACGCCTACGTGCCCAAGGCAGGCAACAAGTCCACCTTTGCCAAGGCAAACGACTTTTATGCCCTGACAATGAGCCTGCTCAAGATGCAGGGCTTCAACCCCATCCAGAGGGTCGTCTGTGCCATTCGGACGTGGAAGCAATCTCAACTGAGCCTTGCCGAGATGCTGGTTGGCGCTCTGGGCAACTGCTACGTGACACAGGACGGGTTCAACAACAAGAAGACCGGTCAGACAGCCGAGATTGGCGCGGGGAGCGTGGCCATGGCCAAAGACTTGGTCTTTGTGAAAAGGCATTTTCTGAAAGATAACGTGAAGGGGTCGCTAGTTGACGTCAAAGCCCGTCAAAAGGCGCATGACCAAATGCGCACTCTGGAACCACTGACCAGGCGCGAGATCAACAGAGAGGCAGAGACGATCCAAGACGGCGCCAGCGCGCTGTGTCAAAGTGCGGCTGATGGTATGAATGAAATGGGCCTGCTCCAGGACAAGTGCAATAATATGCGAGAGCTCCTCGAGTGGATAAATGCCAAAACCAAACAAAAGAAGGAGGAGTATGAACTTCTCGGGATCCTAACCAGCAAGTCTGGCGTTGTAGCATGTTCTGATGAAGAGTCGAGTCAGACATGAGGCTATGAAATAGTAATCCTACTGGCACCCAATGTCAGTCACCTGCCTATCCATGTGCCCCCCCGTGAATCTGTATTTGCCTGTGATTCCTTTGTCCACTGGTGATTCCATCCCCAAAGCTCAAACCTCGTGATATCTCTATGCTGCTGAATGACTCAAGACAGGTACAGTCTGGCTTCTAACATCTGATAGCTCAGAAAACTCGCTAGAGGAGGTAGTCAGGGTAGGAGTAGGTTTCCTCGTTCTTAATGGTCAATGTCACTCGGCATAGTGTGTACATACCTAAGAACAATCACACATCAACAGTCACACATCAACAGTCACACATCAACAGCACAATCACATTGAGATAGAAAGGGAAGCATACAAGTACGTTCAGATTGCAATTCACATTTATTTGCAATCTAGTCTAGCTACCAGGCAACCGACTTCGATACTGGGAAGGTTCATGCCTGGCTGGCAGACAATCTGCCAACTAAATGGGGTTTTCGCCTTCATCCGAGGAATGAGACGACTCACTAGATGAGTCTTTTCGAATGGGCTTTTGACTGGGAAAGAATAAATTGTCCTCATCGTCTGAACGTTCGATGGTTTCCTCTTCTTCCTCCTCAGGAGCATCCTCGGTTGCATTGCCGGCATGCTCCGACGCTTGGCCGGACTGGCTGACACCGGCTGGAGGATCGCCTTCAGTCATCTGAGTGTCAGGATCCTGAGCATTGGCTGTAGAGCTCTCGCCATACTGTCTGAGCGAGTTGTTTTTCGCAACCCGAAGAGCAGCTACTCGCAACGCCAGTGGACGCATCTGTGCGGGCTGAATAACCCTGTTATGCGGCTTTGTGGGTGGCATCAACTCAAAAAGCAACTGAGCCGGGTCAGCGTCTTCGTCCTCGTCAAGGATTTTCAAGCACCGTTCCGTGACGGTGACATGCTCGGTCGGAAGCTTGACGAGTTCTTTCGGAACCGTGATGCCAGAGCCCTCTGTGTCTGGCTCAGTCTTGATGATGACGGGCATTGACCGATCGCGGGGAGGCTCCTCGACTGCAGCATCAGCAGGGTTGGGCGCAGGGTTGGGCGCAGGTCTCGGGGCAGCACTGCCGACTGCATGGGCAATTGAAGCAGGGGCTTCAGTGAGCTCAATGTGAAAACGGCCTTCGGACCGCGGGTCCACTTGAAGGTGCTGAGTGAATTCAGTGTGGACGCTATTGTGCAAGGCAACGCGCGTCGCTGAGGTCACGAACCGCTCGGAAGTCAGCTCGCGTATCCGGAGGCTCTCGACGATAACCGCCAGGGACCGGCACAAAGGGTCCGTAGTCAGGTCCTCGTCCCTGTGGCCTTTGCTGGGGTCCCAATCCTGCCAGTGGGTGCGGCCATCGAGAATGTCATCGCGACGGCGAGCTTTGGACATTTTGCACGTGAATGGCAGGCTCCAGGGTGCGCCCTGGAACATGAAATCCGGGGCATAGTGGTGCAAATACAGAGCAACGGCTGTCCAGCTAACTTGAGTAGTGCGCACCGGCGGCTTATTGACACGCCTCGTCATCAGCATCTCGCCGAACCACTTGTACGCCTCGACGACATTGGGAGGCTGCTCTGGACCTTGAGTGTCCGTGTTGATAAGAGGGAGCCTCTTTCGAACCTCGAGACACGCATCAAAGGGGTGCTCTTGCGTATCGCAGACCGGGCACATTCTGATGCTGAAATGCACAGTGTCCGGCTTGGGACAATCCCTGACTCTGTGACCAGCCTTGCCGCATGCGGTGCATGTCTGAATCGTCGCGTTGTACGAGGGAGCCAGGTGGTTGTAGGTCTGACCAACCACAGTCTTTGACAGCTTACGCTGCTCGTTCGAGTCTTGACACTGCATCCACAGATTGACAATGTGAGAACCCTGCTTGCGAGCTTCCTGCTGAATGGTTTTGACGAGGGCCGTAAGGCTCTCATCATCTGTGGCAACTTTTGCCACGAACTGATGCCCGTAGTTGACCTTGGACTGTCGGTCCGGGGCAAACCAGTTGATGGAGGACTGATTGCCGCCCAAAAGCTCAAGCTGATCCTTGTAGTGTGGATTGTTGTACTGGACATGGACCCTATCATGGGGTTCCTGTTGCAGGAACCCTCCCACAAAAGGCAGGCGACGAACTCCCATGCGCTGTTCGATTTGATCAGCGCTGCGATAAATGTCAGCAAAGCTGTAGTCTGGCTCGTAGGCCCTCTTGCGGCTATTGCCTGGTGCAGTTCGCGGCTGGGCTCGCGGCTGGACAGTGTCCTGAATGTACTGCCCGCGCGGGCGATGTACGAGTGGGTGAGTGTGGAGGTGTTGGACCTCGCTTTGATCCTCAACCTGTGATTGAGCGTGCGCTCCGCTGTTTGCAGAGGTCGCGACGCTTTGATTCTCGACTTGCGAGTGATGGGTCACTCCGCTGTTGGCGGAGTTGACGCCATCTTGATTAGAAACGGAATCAATGTCCATTTCCCGGCTGTATCCAGCGTGGTGGTTGCTGGTGACTTGCGGCTGTTGAGTCGCTTGGGTGTCCTGAGAGCGGACTTGGTTGTTGAGCGGTGGTGCGCCGCCGCGGTCTGCCATAGTGAATGAGATCTGCATAAGAGAAATGGTCAGTGGAAGGGTTGAACACGATACGTGCTTGTGCTCTGGCTCACTTTTGCTCGATGTGTATGTGGTGGTGGTGGTGGTGGTGGTGGTTGTTGTTGTGAGGAAGAAATGAAATGGAGGGGTTGTTTGCGACGGGAGTAGAAGTAGAAATTGCAAGACAAGTGAATTAAGAAGAGTAAAATTTCTGTGGGCAATTCTGGCGGCTGGCAAACGGCTGGGCTCTTGTCAAAGATCAGACGGTCTCAAGACCACCCCTTCACTCGGTATTTACCTCTAGGTACGTACCAAGGTAGGTACACGGAGCCCGGGGGAGGCGGTGACGTACTACAGGTTTGCCTTGGACACACGTAGTTGCCATGTACCTACCTACCCACAAGCAGTTGTCTTGACGATAAGGTTCCAGTAGGGGCTGGACGGTGACGTACTACTGGTTTGCCATGTAACTACTTACAAGCTTGACGACAAGGCTCTAGTAGTAAGCAAAGGGCTACGGTGGAGGTGTTTCGAGTCTGGTGTTTGGAGCATAGAGTCAAACAAGTAATCACGTTGATAGAAATGCACCTCACACTGCAAGCTGATAGAACAACAATCACTACCAAGACATGATCACTCCACATGGGACAATGCAACAATGGGTGGAGTTGTATATCAACTACCTAGGTACTCTCACCGCTCTGGAGGGTACCAATGATGACCCTTTTGCCATCTTCGCCTTCGGGGAGCTTGATTAGAAAGCATGAGTCCCTTTCGGAAGGCGCGAGATGAATGGGACAAACCCATTGCTGATTGCTTTCATCAGGCGCATCCACCTCTCGGTAGTTCATGGTGCTAAGCGACTCGGAACAGATCCATCTACCTCGTGGCCCATGTTCCATAAAGTGATCCCATGCCTCCTGATTGCCGACGAGCAATGGAACGAGAAAGAGAAAGGCCACCAGGGGATCTAGAGAGGTCTCATCCTCGTCCTCGATGTCTGGTGTGACGTTGCTCATTCGGTTTACAATGACACTGACTTGATCCCAAAGCTTGGATGTGTATGCCGGGCGAGTTCGAGAAATTGGAATGTTGAGGACCGGGCCTTGCTCGGATCTTGTACGGCGACGCTTGAGATCGGAATTGGGGGCATCAGTTTGTACCTCTAATGGATCCCCTGGACTCTGATTGAAAGGGTCGCTTTCGGACTGGATTTCGTCCAGTCTTTCCGCCCTGCGTTTGCGGGAGGCGGAGGCTAGATGCCCGAAAGTGCTCTCAACATCTTCTGGAGTGCAGCTAAGGAGCGTGGGCACACGGGCGTCCAACAGGGTCTTCAGTTCGGCCAATTTTGTATCCAAGGTGGATTGAACACCTTTGATGGCATCCGTCTGCGTGGAAAGCTCTGCCCTGGTCTGCTGGAGGCTGCCAGCCTGCACGGAAAGAGCTGAGCTGCTCTCCTTCAAGCCTTGGGCGGCTGCAAGGGCTTCCTTGACCGTGGCACCAAGATCCGAGTTGGAATCCTCACATTTCTTTGCCATGTCGGCCATCGTCTGACCGAAAGACTTGCTAGTCTCTTCTGCTTTGGTTTTCCACTCATTGATTGAAGACGTCGCTTGGTCAATGGTCGCAGAATGAGACTTTGTCAGGTCAGCAAACGTAGAGACATTCTTGTTGATCAACTGCTCGCTATCGTTGATCTTGTCCTTGAGGAGTTCAGCACAATCTGTTTGCTGTTTGGTCAAGCCTTGTGCTGTCTCGACGGTTGCTTTCAGCGCATCCGCATATTGAGACTGTGCATCAGTGAAGCGGGTAACGGTGTCGCCCAGGGTGGTGGCATGTGCGTCTTGCTGGGTTTTCATCCCAGTGAAGCTCTTGTTGAGCTCATCGGCGCATTTGGAATGCTTGAGAACCAATTCAGACAGATCAACATTGACGAGTGTTTTGGTAGCCGTGACTGTTTTCTCAAGCTGACTAGTACATTCAGACTGCGTTTTGGTTAGTGCTTCAGCCTTGGACACACTTGCCTGGAAATCAGTGACAGTCTTGTCCAGTTTGTCAGCATAGTCTGACTGTTGTTTGGTCAGTGCTTGAGCCTTGCTATCACTTCCCTCGAGCTTCTCGTCCACCTTGGCAGCAAGATCAGACTGTTTTTGTGTCAAAAGCTCGAGATCTCTGACTGTCGTGCCTAGCTGAGTAGCACATTCAGACTGCGTTTTCGTCAGATCTTCAGTCTTGGAAACTGCGCCCGCCAGGTTAGCAATACGATCAGACTGCGTTTGCGTCAGACTTTCAGTCTTTGCGACTGTAGCCGCCAGGCTGGCAACACATTCAGACTGCGTTTGCGTCAGACTTTCAGTCTTTGAAACCGTGTCCTCCAGGTCGGCAACACATTGAGACTGCTCGGCAATTAGCTTTTCAGTATTTTGGATCGTCTTGTCCAGCTTCTCAGAACAGGCAGTCTGCTTTTGTGTGAGACTTTCAGCCTTCGAAACACTTTCCCGAGTTGCGTTGGCTGTCGTCTCCAGCTTGGCCGCACATTCGGACTGCTTGTTCGTAAGGCCAGTGACACGTTCGAACGTAGAAGTCATGTCGGAAGCGCTGTTCTGCATGAGTGTCTTGGCTTCGTCAACTGTCTTTGTCAGTTCCTTTGCGGCCTCAGACACATTGGCGACATCGGTATGGATCGACTGTGTGGACGTTTTGACGCTTTCAGCGCACTGGGACTGTGTCTGCACAAGGTCAGTGATCTTGGAGACGTGTTCGTTGACCCGAGAAACGTTGCCAATGATTGACTTTTCAACTCCCTCGATCGCGACCTTCAGTCTATCGGCACTTTCAGACTGAGACTTGGTCTGCAGATTCCAAGTCTCTTGAGCTTGCGACCGTTCGCCCTGCGCTTGGATTATGCTGTCCGTCAGCCACTGCTGGGCGTCCTTGATTTTGGTTTCCAGTACACTGGCGGCGTTTGAAAGGTCTGTTTTAGCCCCAGACTGGAATTCTGCGATTTCCTTTGTGGCTTTAGATTGCTTGGTAGCAAACTCTGCCATGCTAGCATTGACCAGCGTTTTGGTTTCTTCCAACTTGCCTGTCAGGGCTGTGGTGGCATCGGCAATCGCCTTTGAAGCCCCAGACTGCTTGTCAGTGATTTCGGTGATGCTGTTATCGACCAGCTTGTGTGTCTTTTCCAGCTGGCTTGTCAGTGTGGGAATGTTCGACTGCAAGGTTTCCAACTTGGCAACAGCCTCAGACATGGTTGTACCAAGCAGCTCATGGGTGTCGGTCAACTTGGTTGTTGCGCCATCGATCCCTTGTGTCGCCTGTGACTGCTTGTCAGCGAGTTCAGCGATGCTGTTGGCCACCAGCTTGTTCGTCTTTTCGAGTTCGCTTGTCAGAGTGTTTGCGGCACTCTCAATCTTGTTGGTGTCAGACTGCAAGGTTTGGATCTTGGTGTCAACGTCAGACTGCTTTTCGGTGAATGCATCGATGCGGTCACCCAGCATATCGTGGGTCTGTGTCAACGTGCTTGTGGCCTTGTCAAGCATGTTTGTGGCTTCAGACTGCTTTTCGGTCAGAGTGTTCTGAAATTGCGCAAGCTTGGTCGTCAGTTCCGTAGAGCTTTCGGCAAGGGCCTTTTGGACTTCGCTGTGACTAGACTCGTGCCTTTTCAGTCCCTCGATCTTGTCGTCAATCGTTGTTGCGATCTGAAGTTGCGAATGTGCAACGGCTGTGGTCATGTCAGTCAGCGTTTTCTGCGTGGCTGCAGACTGAGCCTGTGTCGCTGCAAAATCTTTCATCGTTTGGGTCAGCAACTTGCGACTTTCTTCTAGGGTAGCAGTCTGCTGCTCAAGTTGACCCTTGCTGTTGAGAAACTCCTGACGTTCCTCTTCGAATTTGCTCTTGGCCGCCGTGGCCTCTTCGTCTTGTTGGGCGAGGGCACGGCGTTGCGCTTCGAGTGCTTCTTTCTCGGAGTTGAGCTTCGTGCGTTCTTTGAGGAGCTCGGCTTGCTCGGACTCGAGAGTGTTTTCTCTTGCGGTCAGCTGTCTCGACAGTTCTGCGAGCGCATCTTGACGCTGTGTATGCCCCTGGAACTGCATGCGGTCCGCTGCGAGGCCGTCCTTCTCTTCTTGTAGCTGTTCGCAGAGCTTCTGGTACTGTGCTTGCAGGACATCAAAGTACTGCACCAACTGCCGAGCTCGCGCAGTAGTTGGGTCGTCGCGTGGCCCAAGGGCAGACAAAAGATTCTGCATGCCCTCTTGCACGGCCTGGGCGAGTTCGGAATGCTGTGGGCTTTGCGCCATGGTCGCGGTTGGCAATCCGATATGGGTGTTGCTTGGAGAAAATCACCAGAGTGGATTTGCGTACGCGACTGATTTGCAAATGTCTAGCGCGGATAGTGGGTAAACGCGACGGATAATTTCGCGCTAACGGAAACAAGGCTGGCAAGGCTGGGTGACACGGCACGGCAGGAAACGTGAGGCAGGATTGCACTCATGCCTGGTGAAAACCACTACGTCTTGTGACTCTATAGGAATTGTTGTTTTCAAGCGCTACCGTCATAGCACAAATTGAGTTTGGTGAATTCCGAGTTACCCATCGCTCGATGATTCAGTGGGAGATCTGACTAGGGGCCAAGTCAGTGTCGGTCGATCATACATGGTTCATTTGCTGATTGTCCCTGAGTCACATCAACTTGCAGCAAAGTCTGACTGACAAAACGTGAATCTGCCTCTGACAGTCCCAGAACGTGTGTATATAAATCCATCAACCCTCCACCCATCTTGTAGCAGTCCGTTCAAACTATCCAGTTGTAGTAGAGGTATATATAAATCACCAGTAGTCATATCCAAAAACATAGCCTACCCTAGCTTTTACTTTTCCTCCCTTCGACAATACTCGCCATCTGTCTCTTTTTGTGATCCTCCCGCCGTGTCTTCCATGGACAGGCACGAGAAGATCATTAACAATCACCAACCTCTACGGCGCCAACAATGCCACCAACCAGCGCCACTCATCTATCGTGAGTTGGTCAGAAATCATTTCGTTGGCCTCATCTAACAACTGCTTGGCAGGAAATGTGTGACTGGAACAACCAACACCTCCACAATCACCCGCACGTACATCGCCCGCGCGGGGAGTACAATCAGGGCAGACGGAGAAATAGTCGTAAAAGGGCTTACCAGCCCGATTAGGACCAAATATCTCGCTAAGCTCAAGCTCTGTGGCAAGGGGGTAGAAGAGTTGAAAGAGTTTGTGTGCAAAAACGAAGCACAATTCATTCTGTTGGAAGAACTTTGTCTGCAATTGGCGCTTGATGAGTACGAAAAGCAGCTTGAGGCTCCAGCACTTCGGTACATCGAGGCCAGCTACCTATCTAGGACTTTCTCGGGGTCAGAGAGTCAGATATATTCAAAGGCCGAAATAGCCATCGCGTCCCAACCATATAACCAAGTGGCAATATTGTTGTCGGTTTCGTCATTACAATAAAAGATTTTGTCCGGTTGGGGACAGATCTTTGACAATACCTGTACTGAATCCAGATCCTCAGCCTCGGTGCCTCCCACCATCCTACAGCAGTTCCTGACAGGAGAGGAAAATGTATAAGTGATAGTGTTGGCTCCTATATAGCGTCTCATAGTGGACTTGCACTAACATTCCCTCATTGACCCACTTCGGTGGTCGTCCTGAAAAACATCCGACCAATCAGACGACTTCCTTCCTTCCACAGCGACAACCACTGCAGCGATAAGCTCAGCGCCTGACACCGGGAAGATCCCAGGGCCGCGCTTGGAATTCACTCGAAAAATGGCCAAAGCTCACCGTGGCGACAAGATCCTCAACGGCCGCACTCACTGGCAGGATTGGGACCCTAGGGTAGCAGAGGCCACAGGGACGAGGACTTGCCTGCTGACCCTTTGTGCCGGTCCCTGGCGGTTATTGTCGAAAGCCTCCGAAGAAGCGAGCTCACTTCGGAGCAGTTCATGTCAGCGGGGCAGCGGAAGCCCGATGATGCTCTAGTCGATGAACCGGAGCCTCGCGATCGGTTGATACCCGTCACTATCAAGACAGAGGCAGAGACAGTTAGCCTCAAGACAGAGTCGCAGCCGGTCACTGTCAAGATGGAGACGAAACCGGCGAACGTCAAGACAGAGTCGCAGCCGGTTAGGATCAAGATAGAGGAGCTGGTTACATTCAAGACAGAGCCAGATACCGAGGGCTCTGGCATTACGGTTCCATCAGGGTTTGAGATGCCTACAAATCCTTAAAGACGACGACGACCAAGTTGACCTGGCCGATTACATCTTTCGGTAGATGCCAGCAACAAAGTCGTGTTCAGGCCAGACAGACGCATATGCAAGCGCTGCGAGCCGCCGCTCTTCGGTACGGAAAAGGGCCCGCTTAACACCGAAACGCAAGGAACAGGCTGCCCGGCAGCTGCCGTCCCCCAATTGGTAGAGTTTGCCGGATACAAAAAGTTCAGGCATCATGGGGTCTCTTGGACTTTGAGTTCAATCCCTCGATCTTGTTATCAATCGTTGTTGCAGACTCAGCCTGCGTTTCTAGAAAATCCGTTATTATTTTGGTTAGCGACTGGTCTATCATCCAGAGCTTGGACGTTGGAATGGGGACGACTGCACGCTCAGCCTCGGTACCTCTACATTCTGTCAGGTACCCCTACGTGCTGCCGTTCGTCCCCAGGCAGAGGAAAATGTCCAAGTGATAGTACAGCTCGCTGGATACCGTAGAATAGTGGGCATGCACTAACAGCTCATCATTTCACCCACCTTGGTGATCCCCCTGGCGAACATTCGGCCAATGAGACGACGGCTAATCACAGGCAGCCCACTCCACGGCAAAACTAACGCTGAAGCCTTCATCCAGCTCTAGGACGGCCCATGGAAGAGACGATCCAATTTACGTACGAAAGCACGAAACCTCCGACGTTCGGGCACAGACGACATCGGACGCCGACAGATATCACAATCGTTGGCAAACGAGGCTCAATCCCATCCGTTAGACCACAGTCTCCCAAGACCACAGTCTCGTATGTACAAGAACAACCGCAATCAAGGAAACAACCCAAAGCAATTCGCATAGTAACTGACGGTCGCGCTCCAGTCACTGAAAACGGCAATCGCCCCGACCTCCTTGCTTGCCAGAACATCGAGCAGCTCGTACACAACGCCCTCTCCCCTTGCCGCCGTGGCATTCGCAATCGTCGAGTAGTAATACCCTCCCTTGGTGCTGTCCGCGAGCCATCCGGACCGTTCCAAACTCCAGGTGATCACCTTCAACCCAAGCTTCTTCGCCTGCTTGGCATACTCGCTCGCAACCACCTTGACCTTGCCGTCCTGGTCGGTGACTGTCGACACCAGATACTGGAGGGGAGGAGCAACGATCTTGACGCCGGCTTGGGCATACTTTGCCAGGGAGGCAGTGGCAGCGGAGATGGTGCTCGGAGCATCACCCGACTCGTCGAGAAGAATCGCCTGCTTTGCAAACTCCGGCTCGGCGCGCAGCCAGTACAACACGTCGTCATACAAGAAGCTCTGGAGCCAGACGCGCTTGGGGTCAATCTTCGCCGCCTTGAACTGGTCAATCAACTGCTGGGCGAACGCTTCTTGCGTAAAGTTGATGGAACCAAAAGGCATCTTGACCTCCGGCGTCTTTAGCTCCGGCGTAAAGTCCAGGCCCAGCGCGTCGACGAGCGCAATGTACTCCTTGACGGTCAACAGCTTGTGGCAGGTTCCGGGGCCGGAGTAGAGCGTGGTGCGGTAGCCGGGTACGTTGCCCTGGTATTCCTCCGGTGTTGTAGCCTGGGTGTTGGAAGAGTCCATCTTTGAGCAGAGCCCCTTGGTCTCGGTGAGCTCGGCGAGAGTGAAATCACTGGTGCAGCACTTGGCGGTTGCCGATTGCTTGGTCGTGGCGTTGTAGGGAGTAAAAGGGACGGTGCACTTGGCGGCCAGCGAAGGGATCGTGAGGATGTTGGTGGTGGTGTGCAGGTCGCATTGCGAGTGCCGGCAGATGAGCTGCCGGTCGGAGGTAAAGGTTACGTCGCACTCTTCGATTCCCGCGCCCATACGAGTCTGTCTCTGTCAGTATCACGGTCACTTGCAGTTCCGAAAAGACACTTACACCAGCCAGGATGCTCGCCTCCGTCTCCTCGGGAAACTGCAACGTGCCGCCGCCACGGTGACCGATGCTCCAACGGCTGGGGCGCATCTCCTTTTCGGAGCAAGATTGGAGCTTGGTCTTGAGGGGGGAGTCCTCCAACTGGTCGATTAGCCAGTACGGTCGGGGGCCAAGCTGGATTCTCGTGATGGGTTTGATGCCCGTCTGGTTTTTGCCTGGTCCGCCATGCCTGGGGAGGGCGAGGGCTGGTGCTACGAGGGCTAGCCAACTGAGGGTTGAGAGGGTGGATGGCATGGTGTCGATGGAGGAAGACGGCGAGGAGGAAGACGAAGGCAGAAGAAGAAACTGTCGGAGCGGGCAGTTAACGGTTTATATCTCCGTTGACAGCAGCTAACTCCCCAACTAGCAAACCCCACGTCCAGCCATGCTGTAGGTACAGTGAGATTTACGACCGCGAGGGTAAAGATTGACAAAGCAGCCAGTCTTTGGTGTATCTCCGGCACGTGGGGTCGTTGTTTCTTTCCGGGTTATCGTATCGCTTGATTGGAGTCTTGGTGTTGAGCGGACCCTTGCAACGTAGCAATGCGTGCCACAATTGCGGAACGCGATTGGTGGATGTCAAGACACTTGCTGAATATGTGCAAGCGGAAGAATTGGCTTATCATTGATAATCTCATCGATGGTACTCTTGGAAGTTGGGGATGATGACTGTTTTTGGATACTGGAGAATGCCTCTACTGGGTTGAGAAGGCCGCTCAAGGCTACCTGACCCACTCCTCACATGCCGGTCCATTGTCGACTGAAGCCATTTCATAAAACCTCATCTTCCTTTTCTCCTTTCCTTCAACTTGAACACCTTTTCGAGAAATACCCTCGCATCCTCCGTCTTCCCACCATCAACACTTCCCAACCTCACCCACGCATCGACCGCCATCCTGGCCTCCCTCAACGCCCCCCTCAGCGCTAGGTCTCGATCCACCTCCTTACCCCCAGGGCTTCCCCGTTCTGCCAGCACAAGATGCAACTCCGCCATAACCCCGTGATACTCTCCCATTAACGGCAAGAGTCCTTCCACCTCTGCAAAGTCGAGCCAATCATTTAGGATGTTGATGGCGTCTTGGTAGAAGCCTTCAGACTTGGCGTGGAGCATCGTGGTCCATAGCTCGTTCAGGTGCTGGCGGCGAGAGTGGGATTCGGCGGCGGGAGTATTAGCCGAGGGGTCATCGGACAGAGAAGTGCAGAGCGGGCAGTGGCAGGTGAAGTGGTGGGTTTGTTGGAGAAAGTGATGGCGGTCCGAGGGGGGGAGGGTGAGGGGGGTGTCTAGATGCGTCAGCTTTGGATCCGCATTTGAAGGCAGGGCGAAAGCGTACAACTGATGAGAATCTCTTCCCCTGGAAAGATGGGCCGGTAGGATATGACTTCCATGGTGAGTCGGTTCTTGGAGAATCGGAGGCGAGCGCTGCAACAAGCCGTTAGCTTCCTTCGGCACCATGTGGGTAGACCGAACTCACTTTGGTCGGCAGGAGTGGTTGATCCGCTGGTCATTCAGTCAGCATCTCCTGCCATTTTTGACGTCAATCCTCGAAACCTACCGCAACCTCGACAAACAACCCCATCATTCCCTCCGCCGCGTAGCCCTCCCCGTACTCCTCCGACTCTTGTTCCTCCAGCAGTGCCAGTGCCGAGTCCGTTTCTAAACGATCACCTCCTAGTCCCTTGAGGTTGATCCCCAAGATCGCATCGATCTCGTAACTTCCCGGTCCCTTTTGCAGCTCCAACACGTTGCGTCTCGTGCTTTCCGGCAATTGCTCCAGCCCCCTCTTTACCATCCGTCTTCTCAGATGCCCCTTCCCCTCTCGTTCAGTTTCCCTCAAGAACTCTTCACTTATCAACAAAGCCGGGACATCCACCATGAGGATCTCCCCTTGTTTGATGGGCCTTGTGGCCACTACCCCGTTCCCCTTTCCCTTCACGTCCGTAATCTGGTACGGCATTTCCCGCTGCTTTCGAACATGAGAAGTCCAAGGAGCTAGACCGTCATTCAAGGCCCCCATGCCTAGTAGGTTTGCGGCCGCGGTGGTTGAAACGATCAGGCTGAGTCCCTGCCCGTTTCGGAAGTTCTGAGAGGAAAACAAGCAGTATGCGTTTTCGGCTGTGCTGCATTTATCTGCGGGGGGACGGGAGCAACCAAAGAATGGAGAAGAAGACGCGGAGGAGGCGGCTGAAGATCGGACGGACATGCATTTGGGCGGAAAGGACCAGGGCAGGTTAAAGTGTTCGATGGGGGTGTTGTTTTCTGGAAAAATTCCTAGGAGGCCGGGACAAGCTGCTTGAGACGAGGTTGAGGACCGTTGAAAGGAGGTCAGGTTTGGGCATTGCTGTCGGAGCGATGGGTTGGATGTGAGGTTGGAGTTGAAAACTGTGGCGTTTGCTCCATGTCTGCACACTGCCGTGGCCAGTAGAGAAAAGACCAACAAAGTCCATATCAAACGGGTTGTTGTGCTGGAGAACATTTCGGCCTTTGGACACTCTTAGGGCGTGGAAGTTGTCCCTGAGAAATTAGGGATTGTGCAACATTCACAAGATACCTACAGGTTCAAAAAGACAAAGTGGCCACACATCATGTTACGAACAGCGTTGCATTGACCAAAGTGACAGTGATGTTTCGCTTGGCAGTACACGGCTATCCCTGGACTGCTGGGAACAGGGAGGTAGTAATACCCGGCGGGTAAAGGCGCTTGTTGTGCTTGAGCATAGGGTAGTAGCCAGCTATAGGGAATATGATCGGCGTTTGTCTGTCTCCGGATGTCCTTGATGCTGGACGCTGAGGTCCTTGTTGGCAGCTCGAGACTTGATGCAGCGGGATCCTGGTTGAGAGACCACATGTTTCGCAGAAAGAGAAGGACACGTTAACACCAATCATCAGAGATATTGACACTGCATAAAAGTCTTGAGCGGGGATCTGGCTTGTCGCATCAGATCAAGGCTGGAGTTGACTCAGGATCAAAGTTAGGGGGACGGATCGGTCTGTGGTGTTCTCACATCGACCAGAACGATTCAGGTAATGCCCGGGCCCAGGCAATGACTTTCACATTGGCTTTTAAAGAGTGACTATAGTCGTATACAAGAGAAAATTCATCATCAGATATCCAGAATCATGCTGGTGTCCATCGCCTAGCCGCTTGTACATTGTACCCTTTGCAAGAGCGTTGAAGATACGAGTGTTCCCTTGGCGACACCAGGGTTTTCTGAGGAGACAGGTGCTCATCCCTTAGACCCAGACGCATCCGGTACCGGCCTGACCACAGACCATCTGTGTCAAGTAGAGATTCCATCAGTGGGTGTTCCATTCGCATTGCAAAAGAAATAGGGGGGTCTGAGGACTTACGACATTGGGGGACCCGCCAGGGCAGGTCCACAGGTCGCATGTCTCCTTCTGGCCTTTGCAGCGGCAGTTGGTCTGTCCAACGACGTGGCCGCCGTTGCAAGCCGGGAGAATCTGGTTGCAATTGACACGAGCCTCGAGGGTACGGGCGGCGAGGTCGGCAGCCTCGATGTTGTTGGGCATGGCGAGGGCGCCGGTGGCGAGCAGGGCAAGAGCCTGGATGGTAGTGAAGAACTGCATTCTGGGCGAGGGGTTGTTTCTCGTTGGGAATGTCTAGAGTCTCGTGGTGTAGGTGCTGATGTGTGAGTGAGTTGATGATGCAAGACAGGAGACGATTGACGCCATCTTGGGGCCTCTTATATAGATATATTCCTTGCTCTGCTCCTGAGGGCGTCTACTTCCATTCTATTACGTCTCATAACAAACGAATATGAGGTTCACGTCGTCATGTTCCACGGGTACTTCCTTGTAAGGCTGTTTGATACAGTAAGTGGCAACTGCCCCGTACCGCGTCTGGCTACTCTTTGGAAGTCGGTGAGAACCAAAAACGGCCACAGGTGTACGACCCGTTAGTCAGTTCACACCGTCTTGCCCTATCCCTTAGTTAGATGTGCAGGTCAGCCTGATGTCTTCCTACGGAGGCACCGTAAGAATCCTTCGGTGACTATCCCGGAGCAACTGCAACTCCGCCTTATGGCTCGATCTGCAATGGCTCAGGGCATTCATTGACTGCTTAGTCTCCGCCCGACGAGATCGGCACTCGGTGTAGTTTCCTTGCTTACCTATATCTGTTACCCAAGAGGCTTGTTAACTCAAGTCTTAGGCAATATAAAGGGATAAGCAGCTCGTACCATTCAGTCGATGACCGAAAGGGGCAGGAGGATGTGGGATTTCTATTTTATGCAAGGTCCCTGCATAGGTGCCAGGGGCACGTGGTGGTCATCCAGCATAGTTGTGGCAAACTTGCTCTAGTTATATGAGCTCTCTAGACGATGATAGGGTATTTCTGTCAAGAGAGCAACGACAATGTGTGAGATCACCAACGAGATCAAGCGGTTGAATACGATTGATTGAGTGTGTGTCCTATCGAGAGAGAGAGAGAGAGAGAGAGGGAGACTGGCGGAGTCTGGAAGGCTAGATGTGGTGCGGTCTGGGCAGGGCACAGAGTGGGGACTGGGCCCAGTGAATGCCGGGACCCACCAACACAATGTCATATTCTCACACCGCTCAGCTTGTTGTCAATATTGGTCGCTGACTGCAGATGTCTTAATCCCAGGTACCTCTAAGCTGACTGCAGGCTGCTCGGCCTCGGAAGCGGGGCCCCGCTGCAGCCACTGCCCTGGCCAAGCTGCCAAAGTACTATGCAGTAGAGGTGGCTGGATACGAATCCGGGGGGATCTTCTGGGCGCCGGCAACTATGGTTGAAAATCGAGATGGGTTGAAGAGTCAGTGGGGAAGATTTGTCGTGGAGAAGGCTGCCCCAAGGAAGCGGAAGAGTCGAAGATGCGATGCGATGGGATGAAGTGTCATATGCACAGCGGGGGCGGTCCGTAGCGGGGCTGTTAGCGGCCGGACGATCCACCCCCGCAGTTCATATTGACCCCTGCTACAAGTATGACATCATCCACCACAGTCTCCCAGGCTGAAGCTCTGTTGCCCAATGCACTGTTCTCAGACGAGATGTACTCTGCCGAGACAACACCATGCTCGTGGAATTCCTTGCAATGGTCCAGCAAAGACCACGGGTTCCGTCTTCAACCCGTCCCATCTCTTCTCGCGGAGTTTGATACCCCCATACTGACCTGTCGGATCTACACAAGCTCTTACCCAGCATGCCCGCCGTAAGCGCCAGGTTTCTCGGCCTCGCCGTCCTCCTTCCGAACATACCCAATACTCGAGCCGTGATCCACATCCCGCACTACTTTGCCACTTCATCCCTAACACCAGCCGATGCTGCGAGTAGATCCAACACCCCAAGCCGAAGCAAAGACCAGTATATCCCCAAGACCATCCACCAAGTCTACCACAACTAGCGAGACCCCCGCAACGAGACCATTCCCACCGACTGGGCCCACGTACGCACAAGAACAAATCCCGACTTCGAGTACAGGCTATGGACCAGCAACGCCTCCCGCCGGCTTAGAGACACACTACGAATGGTTCCTTGATACCTACGACAGCTACACATGTCCTGTCCAACGAGCCAATACTCTCCGCTGCTTTCTCCTGCGCCACTATGGTGGCATCTACATTGATCCCAACTACGGCTGCGCCCGTGATCTTGCGCTCCTGCTCTACTACCCCGCGTGGGTAATCGACCGCGGCCACGGCATCACTGGGGCGAGGCCCAACCATCCTGACTGGGTCATGTTGACTGAGTCTATGGTTACCTACGCGTGGATTGCGGTTTCTGTTCCCACATGCTACCCATGGCAGCAGTCCAGAGTTCGGGAGGGTTAGCTGGGAAAAGTATCATGCACGGCTGCCCGACAAAGGCCATTCTCGGGAGTTTGCTACTCTTCGCTATGCTCACCAGACGGGTGTCACGCTCGTGGCAAGCAGGCAAGACCCATCAATGCGAATAACAGAAACTGCTGCCGGCGGAGGACGAAGTGGAATGGTACGGGGCGGTTTGACTTTTGTGACTCTCTCTCTCTCTCTTTCTTTCTTTTTTTTTTTTTTTTTTTTTTTTTTTTTTTTTTTTTTTTTTTTTTTTTTTTCCTGTTTTATTTCTTGATTGCCTTGTGTTGGGTTTATTTCGTGTCCCAATCCTTTGGCATTGGCCTCGTCCTTGGCATCCTAAAACATTGATCATTCCAGGACACGCTTTTCCACAGCTTCACAACAGGCCGAAGCCAGCTGTTTATTGGTTCATTAAATAATTACAAAGTGCGCCGACCACTATTGGCTCTCGACTTCGGGAAGCCAATCATTTACGACGTCCAATCCGATGCGCAGTGGAAGCTGAAGAGACCAGTGAACGGTACATATTTACCCTGGATTGTTTAGTGCGGTAATTAGTCAAATTCTTTGCATAAGATAGGTAGGTATCAACTTTATGCATTTTCTAGTCTTCAGACAGTCTCGCCAATCTTCCTCGCCTTGAATGTGGTTGTCTCGTTGGTTGAGTTTTCTGTGATGCTTTGCAAACCCCTGTCACAACGAACCAGCATTGGATTCGCTGAATGTAACACTTCGCCAGAATCCATTGGTTCCCGTCTCGAGTCTGTATGGCAGAACGGGGAATGGTTTTGCGCAGTTGTGCAAACCCGTCTGGCTTGCTACACAGACAGGTCGGTAGCATCCCCTGCGCATGATTTATCCGACCAACATCTTTGTTCAGCGCCGTAGCCTCCAACTTCACTTCTCTGCCTGACCGCAGCGCACCATCTTCCGCCTTTTTGTCTGCAGGCCCTCACCACTACGCCAGACACGCTTACTCGATCTCCCAGGCGTCAACATGTCCTCCCCCAACACACTGACCGTTACGGATGAAGGTACAAAACCCTCTTCCGGAACTGTCGACACAAACCCTGCTCACAAGACGGCGGAAACTCCAGTGTCCCTCAGCCATGAAGACGAGAGCCCGTCGCCATCCCAAGCTGTCACTAACGCTACTCCCGAGACCACTTATACGACCACCTCTAGCTCAAGTGTGACCAGTGGAGTGGTTTCGGACAATGAATCATCGACATCTCTGACCGGTACGGAAATCATGGCCATGCGTCGGCAAAGAACAGTCAATCGCATTATGCAACACTTTTGCCAATACTTGGAGTGGATATCCAAAGGCAATGCTGTTCGAGCATCAACTGAGCCTTTTCACCAGAATCTCTTGAGAACGCCGAATCGCTCTGCCTCCAGCAGCTCACGTTGCTCGACGGTTTTACTTCTGAGAACGACCCCTTCAAGTTCAATACCTACGACTGTATCCCACATGTACAGTTCAATATACCTTCTCCATGTCGCCCATTGAATCATTATCTCCATTTCGAGAATGGAACAATAGATTCCGGTGTTGATGTGTCGTATAGCGCAGGTTCTTTAGGGGAACCTTCTAAGGAAGGGCGTTCGGGCGAGTGCTTGCCAGATCCGTGGACCGCATTAGAACTCCCTGTACCGGCTACCTCTAGAGACAGCGAAGACTTCCGCTTCTCAAAAAACTTGCCTAGTGCCCCTGGGTTTCTAACCAATCATACCTCTGTATCATGGTATCCTTCAGTGCTTGAGCTCGATGATGGACCCGAACCTTCAACCAAAATCAATGGCATTTTGCACGACTCAACTCCTACTCCCAACCTGCACCTTGCTGTCAACACTATGAGGAGTGAAATCGGACGCCCGGTCAATGGTACCAACCAAAGCAATGGAATACGAAAGCATGCGGCCGAGGATGACGGTGACCACGATGGCAGCCGGAAGAGACAGAAAGTAGACGATGGCCGGAAGTTTTCTTGCCCCTTTTTCAAGAGGAATGCTCGCAAGTATTCCAAGTGGACGTCTTGTCCAGGACCGGGCTGGGATGAGATTCACCGGGTCAAGTATGCCATCCCCAAAGTTACCTATGCGACGTCTTCTACCGGATTGTGGGCTAACCTACTAGCATCAGGAGTCATTTATACCGACGTCACGAACTCATCCAGTGCCCGCGCTGTTGGAGCACCCACAAGAACAACAAGTCGCTCGTTGCCCATCTCCAAACAGATCCATCGTGCGAGAAACAACCAAACTTGAGTATAGTTGATGGTGTTACTCCGGAACAAAAGGAGAAACTGCTCAGTCGCAAAAAGACGCATGGTGACATGACAGACGAGGAGAAATGGCGTCACATGTACATGATCTTGTTTCCGGATGACGATAAAGACTCGATTCCGTCGCCCTGTAAGCCTTCGCTTCTTGTGTGATTGACTACAATAATGTGCCCAGACCGTTAACAGTTCTCAATTCACAGATTATGAGGAATCAGACGGCAGCGAATTGGAGGATTATGCGAGGTTCATTCGGAGAGAAATGCCTCCGATTGTCCGAAGGGAGCTTGAAGGCTTGCCTGACCAGGATTTCCAGAACAGAGAGCGCTTAATGCCGCGGCTAGTTGAAATCATATCAAACCTGCAATCGAGGTTACTTGATGTATACCGACAGTCACCAGCATCTGGACACGACCCGCGACCGCAACCTACTACAGAAGTGGATTCCTCTCACGGCAAACCAAGGGAGAGCGGCAGTGGATCGGGTACGACACCATCAGCGTCGGAGTCTCTTGACACTCTCACGCCACCTCATCTTCCGGACTTGGTAGTCAACGCTGACGACTTTGTCGATTCGCTTCTGGGCCTTGACTTCGAATACGATGAGATAACCTCCGAGGAGCTTCAGAGGTTGCTAGATGATTGGGGTCAACCTGGGGACATGGTCAATAATGAAAAGTCAGTGTAATTGCTTGGTAATAGCAGTAGAGGTATGCTTTAGCTGTACTCAATCACTTAGTTCGCCCGCTGGACTTTTCGTAAACCCGTACTCTTCGAGTCCACCCTTTCAGTAGACGCGAATGCATGGCTAATACGAGCATCAATCCTCATGCTCAATCCCCTCTCTCAGAATCGCAACCTGCTTCTTGATCTCCACCCAAAGCACATACTTGTCGAGATCCTCATCATCTCCATCGTCACCTCCATCATCACTGCCATCCGAGTCCTCCAGTGTCAACCTCTCCCAATCATCCTCGATCCCACTGTTTGCCAAAATCTCCTCCTTCTCCTTGGAATCCCTCGCAATAGTCAGCAAACTCGCCACAAAGGCTTCCTGGATGTACGCAAAGCTGAAGTCATCCGTGATCTCGGCAATCTTCTGGGTCAACACATCCGGAAACTCAATTGTTTCGTTCCCCTTTAGCTTGTTCTGCCAGAACTTGCAGTACGCGACTCTCTGCTTGAGGTCCGGGTTGGGGAAGAGGTACTTGCGATCGAACCGTGAAGGGCGCTTCGAGATGCCGGGATCGAGCCGTTCCAGGTGGTTGGTGGATCCGATCATGAAGATGCCGTCGTTGGATTTGAGGCCGTCGACTTCGTTGAGGAAGTAGGAGCGCACGTTGTCGGTGACGAGGGAGTCGAGGTCTTCAAAGATGAGGTAGCAGGGGGCGAACTGGCGGGCTTTTTGGAAGATTTGCGAGAGGGCGTATTCAGGGCCGGCGTACTACGTCTGTTAGCACTCCCCGTTTTATACTCTGGGTCAACGGATGGATAAAGGGCACTCACCGAAACCAAACTCCTCACATACAAACTCGGCACGCTCTCGTCCCGATCCAACAACGTCTTCATCATGGCCTTGATACTGATCGTCTTTCCGTTCCCCGGCGGGCCCCAGTAAATGACTCCCCTCTTCCATGGCACCTTCAACTTTTTGTACGTCTCCTTGCTCTCAAAGAAATTCAAGTGATCCTGGATAAGGGCCTCCTTCATGTCTCCATCCAAAATCACATTCTCCCAGCTCGCTCCCTGGATACTCTCCCACAGTTCCCGACTCTTCTCCCACCGTCCGTGATCATATACCCAAATTTCATTCAGCAGCGAGTCGGACCATTTCCCGGCGGCCAACAACAGCGACTCGGAGAGGTGCGTCGACGGAGCCAAGATGTAGTTGTTCTTCAGGTGCGGGTAGGCCGAGGCCCCGTCGCGCCCATCGACGATGTACAGAATGAATTCCTTGGATTGCCATTTGAGGAGGTACTTTGCAAAGATGATGTCTTTGACCAAAAAGCCGGGGGAGTTGTCGATGCGTCGGGCGGGCGGGACGTACGATGTTGTGGAAAGGCTGGTGGGGTACTTGTTGGCGGAGGAGCAGAGGTCTTCGGTGAGCGGGGTGATGGTGGCGTGGCCGGCCGCAGCGAAGCCGAGAAGGTTGGCCGAGTAGATGGGTGCGATGGTTAGTTCGAGGCTGGGATATTGCCTTTTGAGGGTGGCGGCGATGACGCATTGTGTGTCGATGCGCCGGGCCGAGGTGTGGTTGAAGAATTCGGCGGTTGTCCTTTCAAAGTGCCCATGTTGAGGGGGTGGGTGGCCGTGACCGGGAGGAGGGTGGTGAGGGTGGTCCATGTTGGGTTCCATCTTGACGTTGGCCGTAGAAATGAACAGAGAAGAGGATGAAGTCGAGAGGTGTCTTTTTAAGAGATTGGACGAGAGGTTGGGATTGTTAGACAACCCAGGACGGTTGTTGCCTGGATGTGACGAGTCGAAGCTGACGTGGAACGACGCGCGGGTCCGATCCGATTGAAGGCGCCATCACACTACAAGAACGATTGGTTGCTGCAAAGTCATGATGTGGCGTAGCTTTCGTGGAATACGGGATCTACGGAATGTCATCAGTCATCACCAAGTTAGCCTGCAAGGCCTGTCAAGACCGTACCGCGCACTAACAGCTCCAATGCTACGCTGAAGATGACCTCGAGATACAGGTCGAGACTAAGGTGGAGAGGTGGGATCAAACGTCCCAGATGTAAACAATAGATATGCTCCCAGCCCGATCATCTCAAGCCTGCAAACTTGATATAACCACTGTTCCACGTTTAAATCTAGTTGACACAAGTGCAGATGCCTTGGCTCCGTTTCGATGCTAATCCAACAAACGATTTCGCGGCTTGCTGAATGTGTTAATTTTGAAGGGGGTGGTAACGCGAGTGGTGCGAGCGGCTCTAGTGGCTGGCTTATCACCACTCTGCCGGCGCAGCGAATTGGCCAACGTAAAGTCACGCACATTGAGCCTGTCAACTGGTACTTGGCCCTGAGGACTCTTGAGCGTATGTGTATCAATCGCCGCAAAAACCAGCCTCTTGACTTCGTGCGCAACATCCTTGACAGCCTGCTCTGCCACTTCCGACCACGCCGTCAGCTGAAGCCAGCCATGGGTGAGGTTGTCGTAGTGACGCCAGCGAGTCGGTACTCCAGCCTGTGACAGCTTGCTTGCGTATTCGCAGCCGACGTCTCGCAAGGGGTCGTAGCCAGAGGTGAACACAGCGGCGGGCGGTTGACCACGGAGGTCCTCGACGGATTGCATACCGGGCGAGACGTAACGGTCTTGAGGGGAGATGTCTGGAAGAGCAATGGGTTAGGTGGGTGGCAGAAGAAGACCGACAGACGACTTGCCTTCGGACCGCGGAAGATAGTTGCTCGCAAAGCCAAAGATGCCGTTGCATTCCAGATAAAGACCGGAATTGTTCTCTGTCGCGGCCGGCGTATCAAATGGCAGTCTTGCCTCGGGATACAGCAAGACCTGCCCAGCCAGTGGCTTTCGCCCTTCATCCATCCTCCTCAAACAGACGGCTACTATCATATTCCCACCCGCCGAATCCCCTCCACCCAATACCTTTCCAGGATAGACTCCCCTTATCCTCCCTCCCTCGCCCTGCACCCAGTCGATCACAGCCGAATACTCATCCAACTACACCGGGTACTTAAACTCGGGCGCCAGTCTATACTCCACCGCGTAGACCTGACAGCCTGACTCCTCGGCGACCAAACGAAGTCCATTCTCAAACTCGTCTACCGATCCCACCGTATACCCGCCCCCATGAAAGTATATCAAGGCACCTGCTTTTCCTTTGTTGCGGTTGTCCTTTCCCGACGTTGGGTACAAGACGCGAACAGGAATCGTCCCATGGGGTCCTCGGATGGCAGTGAACTCGACGTCGTCGATCGGATGGATTTTGTTCTTGGGTAGGGCATGGAGGCCAAAGACGTCTTGATGGCGTCGACGCTCAACGGTGAAGTGCTCTTGGCCACCGAGCTCGAGGAGTGGGTGGGTGGAGAGAAAGTCGCGGATGGAGTAGTGGAGATCGCGAGCGCGGGGTCCGACGGTGGGGATGAGCGGGTCGATGGAGGCGAGTGTTCCGGTGTTCGCTGTCGAGGCCGTAGTGGTAGGAGGAAGAGGAAATATGGGGCGCTGGGGTCCTGTAGGAGAAAAGGTGAAGACAGAGTTGTTGGACATGTTGTGATGATGTCTGCTGGCCGGAACTGCGTTGTTGGCTTCAATCGTTGATGGATTGCACGAGAGGAAAAGAGACGGATTCAGCCGTAGTGAGAGGTGCTCGGAGTGGTTCCCCGAGCGGGGCCTGGGATGGCACTTGCAGGCGCCCGCTAGTGTACAGTAGTGTACATACTGCGTAAAGTGTGCTGAGACCTCACGCTACTACACTAACATGCCCCGGGCCGCGATCCGCGGCGTGACTGATTGACGTCACAATTGATGGGAATGTCGACTAGACTACCTCTAGAGGTACCTACACTAGGAAGTGGAAGACATCCCGAACATTGCAAGTGTTCATCTGAATCATGTCGCGGTTCAGTTGTGAGACATTCATCGCATGTCAGTCCCCCTATCCCAGCCGTTGCGGGCCGAACCTAGAGCCCGCGACATGACAGCAAGGGATGGCTGTCTTTCCTCTCAACGACGCCTTTTGTTTACATTCCTGATAGTGTATGTTGTCATTGGGTGTCTCTCAGCCTATCCCAAGGCGATGCCGTCAATACTTCCCATTATAGACCTCCAGTGGTCTGACTACCGTCTTGATCACTCACTGTCTTTCAACGTGGCAGGCTGGCAGGTCCTTGACTTGCAGGAAGCTATCGACAAGGGCCGTCGGGGTCCCCATTCGATGACGGAGCGAGTGCCGAATGATGGACATGCTCCACGCCTCATGTGCCAATTGATCTGTCCCGGGATTTTCCCCAGCCCCTCCACTCCCTAGTCAGGGTGAAGCATTGGTATGTGGGAACAAAACGGTATATGAAGACGAAAGTCTTGTTTACGAGACTGAGGTTTTGAGGGACATCACCATCATGACAATTCAAAGCCATCGATTGACATCAAATCTGACAAAGATCCGCCGGGTCTAAAACGACCACCGTGACAGTGACCTGCAGACCCAATCGACCAATCAGCATCCTCCTCTTATACAAGTACCCGACGCCATCACCCTGATTCTGCAGTGACCCATCGCCATTCGCTGCATGGTCCCCCGAAAGCGCCCGTCCACCCTCCGAATTTTAGGCTCTGACACACCCGACCCCCGCGCCATGGCCGGGCGCATGCGCTACCAAGTTCGTCGTCTCGCTCTGCCATCCTCATCGGCAAACCATCATTCAGGATGTGAGGCCCGAACCTACACCTGCACCGCAACCACCACCTACACCGATGCCGACTACGGGTACGGCTGGTATCAATTCGGCAGGATGCCACCCCAAAAAGTCCAGCCGCAATACATAACCCTCCGCACAGCGAGCGCAAAGTCGTCCGTCGTCTCCAGTGTCTCGAGTGCGACGTCCACAGCATCAAACGCGAGAGATTCGAAAACAAGACCCAAAGAAGCCGCCGCCTCAACAACAACAACAACAACAACGTCAACCCAAGACACAAGCCGTTCCGGCCTCTTCTGGGAGTCCGCCGGTCTCGACATCGAGCCCCGCTGGGCCCGACAACCCGACATCGACGCCATCGCCCAAGTCGTCCGCCGCCACCTCGGAATAACCTCCCCCTCGCAATGCGTCGTTACCTTTCACTCCTCCGGCACCTACAACAAGCTCTACCACGTAAACTCCCCAGCCCATGGCCGCTACCTCATGCGCGTCATTCTTCCCGTCGACCCGCACAACAAGACCCGAGGCGAGGTTGCCTCGCTCCAGCTCGTGCGGTGCAAGACCGACATTCCCGTTCCCGTGGTGGTGGCCTATGACGATACGAGTGATAACGAGATTGGGTTCGAATGGATCTTGATGGAGCTGTTGGAAGGACAACCGGCGCATTTGCGATGGAGAAAGATGAACATGCGGCAGAAGGAGAGATTGGTGGGAAGGATGGCCGAATTCCAGGCGCAGCTGTCGAGGTGCGGGAATATGACGGAATCGGGGTTTAGGGGAATAGGCACGCTGGGAGCTACCTCCAGGGGAGACAGCGACTTTGTGGACCTGATGATGCCCGAGCCTGGGCCCATGGTCTCTCCAGTGTTCTTTACGGGGGAGCGTTGGCATTATCCGGTGTCGAGAGGGCCGTTCCAATCAAGCCACGACTGGCTTAGGTCCTACCTCAGCGTCATCATCAAGGAGCACAGCGCTACTCTTGCTCAGCCACCGCCCAGAATCCCCGACGATACAGACCGCGAGAAAAGGGAATCAGCCGAAGGTGTTACTCGAGTCGCCCGCAAGTTAGCCCGCCTCTTGCACAAACTCTTCCCGCAGCTTGTGCACCCACCAGAGCGTACAGCCCTTTGGCACGGCGACTCCCTGTCACTCGATAACATCCTCGTCGACGAAAACGGGCGCATCACGGGTGTCGTGGACTGGGAATGCGTGTCGACGATGCCGCGGTGGGTATCCACACAGTTCCCCGAGTTCCTGCGCGGCGGTGTTGAGCGCGAAGAGGAGCCGCACCGGAGCCGGTATGCCGACGTGTTCAGTGACGAGGAGGCCTCGGAGGAAGGACAGGATGGTGGCGTTGAGGATGTTCCGGACAACGAAGGAAAGACGGAGCTGTACTGGATACACCTAATGGAATACGAGCAGACGCAGCTGAGGAGGGTTTACAGCGCCAGGATGGGCCAGTTGATGGGTCACGGGTGGGATGCGGAAGTCGAGGAGGCCGCGCTCAAGGTGGACTTTCTAGGCGCGGTAGCCAAGTGCGCGCAGGGCTTGTACCTCAAGAGAATCGAGCAATGGGTGGATGCGGTAGAAGGCAAGGAGTTTGTTAGGTTGGGGGATGTGTTGAGAGGGGGTGTGGCGGGGAGAAAGGATTCGAATGCGTCGACTACTTCGGGGCCGACAGACACCAGAACAACGCCGGGAATAACAACAATAAAAACAACGGCGACATTGAGCCCGAAGCGCGGGACGGAAAATCAACGGCCACGGTTTTCCATGACCAAAATCTATTGACTTTTGACATACCCGACGTCGCTGTCATTTTCTTTCTATAGCTAGCGTTCGTGTTATAGCATGCTTTCCTTTTAGCGAGCGTTCATGGAATTCATGTCATTCCTCGTCTGCCGATCTCTCTTCCTACGGGATTGCCAATCTGCACTGTCTGGTGGTTGTTGACCCCCCCTTTTAGCTCCCCTTTCGCCAAGTCCTTTCGCCAAGTTCGCCATTGCTAGCTAGCGGTGTACGCGGTGTGCAAAGGGGGTAATTGCACCATCACGAAATACTCCGAGAAGCTATATCCATGACAGCAGCTGATGGTCAGTGTATTGGCGCCAAGTTGTTCGCTTGACCTTCTAGCGATTCTAGCTCATGCATATCACTCCCCAAGCGAAACAAGCATGGACCCCACACGTCATATCACCACATGGTCCGGATGTTCACGGTGGCCAAAATAGTAACAGTCGTTTTGAGCCTCAACGACGATCGACCACGCAAGCGGAATGGCTTTCAGGGGAAAAGGATGTTGAGACCTGGAGAAGATGGATCCATGTCGAGAATCTGTCAATCTTGACGATCACAAGCATCTATAAGAACCTCCATCCTTTTTCTTCTCTGGCCATCTTTTCTCCTCATCATCACAACAACAACAACAACTACTCACCAACACAAACCAACTTCACCACACTCCTTTACCAAAACAAACCACCGTCAAAATGCAGTTCCTCGCCACCATCTCTCTCCTCGCCGCCGCGGCCGTCAGCTCCGTCTCTGCCGCTCCCACCAGCAACCAGTACACCGAGGTTATGGGCAAGGTCACCTTTGGCCTCGAGCGCCAGTGCCCCATTGACCACATCAAGTACCCGGCCATTGAGTTCCCTGCCAACACGGAGAGCAACCACTGCCGCACCTTCTACGCTGGCGCCGTCTTCCAGTCCATCGACGTCGAGTTCTTCGACCCCAAGTGCCAGCTCACCGTCTACTCCACCTACGACTGCTCTGACAGCGGTATCGTGTCCGGCTCCGGTGGCTGCTGGAACCCCGAGGGTGGCATCAAGGCCTACAAGGCTACCTGCCCCTGGAAGCTCTAAGCCATTGGTTTGGTGAGTTTAGGAGTCTGAGGAGGGATGCTTGGAAGAATGCATGGCTAACATGTGGCAGACTGAGATGAGAGAAACAGTGCCAGGAAGGGGAGCAGTGCGAGGAGTGCCAGGGAGGTTGTGGAGGGGAAGACGGAGTTAGGGATACGGGGATAAGGGAAAGATGGAGTTAAGGAGTGTGAAAGGGAGCGGCTGGGGGGAATCGGGTGGGGGTTGGGAAGGAGGTCCGGGGAAGGCAAAGGGGTGAACGGAGGGGCACTGACACTGGCATTGGGAAACAACTGCATTGAGGCGCGTGGGGGGAAACAACTACACTCTTTAATCACTTTTCTCTGTACATACAACAACAACAACAACAACAACAACAACAACTCGAACATAGCATCATGGATCATTCTAGATTCCATCATCAGCAGCATTATTCAGCCAAGTATCACAAGGGTTTCGCGGGATAGAACCATGAGTCGCTGGGACCGGGCTGGCACGGACCGCTTTACCCCTGTTTTGTAAGCGAGGCCAGTCCTTGTCTACCCCTCCGTAGATGTAGATCCGGTCCATCGTGCCGGTCGTTCTTGCTTATAAACCACGTTTCGAGGCAAGTAGTGTATAAGAAGGTCCGAGCATCTCCTTGTTTCTCGACTTTTTTTGCCATTGACATTGACAACAAACTGAACCACAAAGACCCATCCGCTACACAAAATGCCCACCTACGTCGTCACCGGCTCCAACCGCGGCATCGGCCTCGAAATCGTCCGCCAGCTCACCCAGTCCCCAGACAACACCGTTCTCGCTCTTGTCCGCGACCTCTCCAAGGACCACTCCTCCCTGAAATCCCTCGCCAGCGAGAAGACCCACATCCTCGAATGCGACACCTCGTCGCTGTCCTCCATCCGCGACTTTGCCAAGACCGCCCGCTCCACTCTCGGAGACACCAAGATCGACTACGTCATCAACAACGCCGGCGTCAACCTGTCCGAGCAGAACTCGTCGTTGCAGCTGGCCCCCGATGACTTGCTCGACACCATCAAGACCAACGTCCTCGGTCCCGCCAAGGTGCTCGAGTTCCTCCTCCAGCAGGGCCTGTTGAGCGAGAACGTCAGGGTGCAGAACATGAGCTCTACGCTGGGCAGTGTGCAAATGACGCTTACCGGCTTGGGACGGGCCACGGGGTACTCGATCAGCAAGGCCGCGCTGAACATGTTGAATGCCCATCTGGCGACCGACCTCAGAAAGGCGGGCTTGAAGGGTGCCGTGGTCATAGTCATGTGTCCCGGCTGGGTGAAGACGGACATGGGTGGTGACGGAGCGATGCTGAGCCCGGAGGAGAGTGTGGCCGGGCAGTTGAAGGTTCTGCAGGGGTTGAAGGACGAGGACAACGGCAAGTTCTTTAACTATAGGGGGGAGAATGTGCCTTGGTAAATTTGGGGAGGACATACATACGGGCATGTGACACACACGAGAACCAGAAGAATGTCTTAATGGACAAAGACCTTTCTATGACCCTGGGATTACAATCCATGATATGAATGACGGAAACACTGTTCTCTAAACCGTGGAGATACTCATCTAAATCCCATCAGTCTCTCACCGGCCAGAACCACAATGGCCGTCAAGAGAACCTGCAACATCACCGCCCAAATGCTCAATGAGCTGTACCACTTCCTTCGAGAATACGGCAAGTTTCTCGCCATCGGCCCAACCATCTTCTCAATCGGTGCAATCCCCTCCTTCTCGCCCGTCTTCCTCGCCACCTCCATGCCGGGTAATCCATCCAAGCTCCAAGCGTTCTTGGACGCCCAGTATCTGTGTGCCGTTAGCTGTTAGCATCCTCTTCTTCCACCCAGATCAAAAGCCAAACTAACCGTTCCACGCTCTCCTTACTCAGTCCCTTCTCGAACCTTTCCACCTTTTTCCGCCAATGATCAGTCAACACCTCCCTCCTCTCCTTAAACTCCATCACCGGCACCCCAAACCCGCAACTATCGCCCACCAGCTCCACCTCCACCACCACGACACTTCTGGCGCCCGGGACCACTTGGACGCCTTCCTTCTTGGTCCACTCTTGGAACTCTTTCGTCCCATTCTCCAACACCTTTCCCCGTCCAAACAATCTCACAATCCTCGGCGCCGCTTTGCCAAACTCGCAGAACATGACTGTGATCCGCCCATTTTCGTACAGATGGGCAATCGTTTCCGATCCAGATCCGGAGAGGTCGAGGTACCAGAATTGGGCTGGCTTGCTTGGTTCGGACTCGTGGGTGGGAATGTAGCCAAAGGAGTTGACGTTGGGGAAGGTGCCTTTGGGCGAGACGTTGATGTGGCCCTGGGGAGAAAGGGGAGCGGTGGAGACAAAGAAGACGGGTTGCGAGAGGATCCAAGGGAGGAGAGAGGGAGAGAGAGTGGTGTGGAATTTGCCCATTGTGTTTGGTAATTAGATCAAAGTTTGACGGTGTCGTTCTCAGGAAATGGGTCAAAGTTGATTTGGAATGAGATAGGTACTTTATGATGTGGTCTTGCCGGTTTGACTCATTGAAGCGGAAATGTGGAGAGCCCATTACGGAGGGGAAAGTGCAGCGGGTGCTACCGTGTTGAATCCGAGCGGTCGAATCGGTTTAGTTCCCGTCCAGCCGAAAAGAGGAGGTGACGGCTGATCATTGGCCTTTAGACATGAGTCTGTGCCGATTGCCGTACCAAGCCGCGGGACAGTAGATGGAAGAGCTCAACATTCGGGCATCTCTCATTATCAAATTTGCCAGTCTATAACCTACCTATCCACCATAGATCTTCTGAATGAACTGGTTATACCAAACAGCCATTGCGCTCGCCAAATACTGATCCGCCACACTGAAAGCACAGTACCTACTTGACGCAGTCGCGTTCGGGTGTTCTGTAGCATCATCGGACCCAGATATTGCGCGCACGACATACCCTGTGGCGGGTTGAACGTCAAAGTCTTTTCGGCGTCCTTAGCCTTTTGCTGCAGACGGATGGGAACGTGGCCCCTTCGGAAGACTAAATCCTCGGCGGTGCTGGTGTTGGATGAACCAAGTTCCGTAGCCAGCAAATTGATAAGCATGAAGCCGACCAGAAAATACCGAGTATGTCAAAATTCCGCCAGACGTGGGCATGGGTGTATCCGTAGGTGTGATGTACGTGTCACCAGAGACAGTGCAGCACCGGACTAGCAAAGATCCACGAGTCCCCGATGCGGTTCGGATAGGACGACACTCGAAGAGGTTAAAACACTGCCATGGACCTCGCTGGCAATGAGGATCTCGAAACCGTAGCAGGACGAGGTTGGCGAACATTATTAAAATGGTAGCGGTGCGGCCGCCCCAGTCACGCTGGTGATAGCGGAATGTACATGCTTTGATTTGCAAGGCGATGCTGTCGTGTTGATACGTCAGCACGATGTGAATCACAAGGAAGGAGGAAATCAAGGAGAGGAAGCGCATGAGATTGTTTATGGTGACTTGGGCTTGACGTTCTTGGCCTGCCGACGTTCCTTGTGCTCACGAAGCTAGGCAATAGCCTCAATCTTGCGCTCGCTACGGGTGCTGTTTTCCCAGGCGCAAATGGGACTGCCGCCGAGAGACATCTCGGCGATACTGACACGGTTGCGTTCACCGCCTGTGACGCCCCGAATAAAGTCGTCACCGACCTTGTGCGGGAAGTGTGACTGAGACCAACGACAGCCATGACGACCCCGCGTAATGATAGTACTCGGCCCTGGACACGTTTTCGATGTGGATGGCAGAGGTCGGACGGTTGCTGCGAACTCGAGGGTTTGGCCGCCGGAGAGATGGAGAAAAAACTTGTCGACCTCCTGGTTGTCGACGACGTCGCCCTTCAACTCCTTGACCATTTGGTGCCGTTGTAGTGGATAGAAGTCTTGTTGTCGAGATGAAGACCGTGAAGCTATCCGCGAATGCTTGGCAGGAAAGTACTGCATCCGAACCCAGGACGGCGGAGAACGACGAGGAGCTCACGGCTTTAGAAACAACCACTGAAGTCGTGAAGAATCTGCTTGGGCTTGGTCTTGCCGAAAGAAAAGATGTCGCGGGGACTGAAGCTTGCAACTGAAACTCGGAGCCGGTACCGAAGACGCTGCAGGATAGGCTCGGATGGGCATTTTTGGCTTGGCTCTCGGGCTGGAGATGGGTGATGAAGTCCTTGACGCACTCGGACAAGTCGAAACGGTCGCTTTCAGGGTCGAGGGCGGGTCCTCGTGATGGTGGGCTGCGGCATGCGATGGAGAGTTGCTATTCTTTGGAGCTCTGCGCTATCGGCTTTCCATTTAAGTGGCGGCACTGTGGATGTGGATGTCGGAACATGTCGTGGTACTCGAAAAGACCCTTTGAGCATGTAAGGAGGCGTCCCGGGGTGCCGACGCACTTGGTTCGGCCATTGTGCTGTTGTAGCTGCTGCAGAAGTTTAGTTCGGATTAGTGAACCATGGGGAGAAGGTGGTCATTGCAGTAACACAAATATCACCAGGGATGGCATCGCACAACGACAGCAATGCAGTCAGCAAATCAATAGACAGAAACCGAGGCCAAATACACTTGCAGTTGACAGCCCTGGCTTCACAATCCGCCGGCATCATCCTGACACTTGTCAGGCTCACCAGGACCAATGTGTTCGCCGTGGCCCATCCATCTCGTGTCTCGAAGGAATTCAGCCATCACATGCTTCCCGGTGGTGAAGCAAACACCGCCGGGATGATTCCGACAAGTGGTGACGTGAAATGACACGCGAAACAATCCAGAAAGTCTGTTATTGCCAGCGATTCATCTCCTGATTCGGTGGCTAAGCATGGACGGTCGGGACTTGTAGGGTGCGGCATGGCGTCGAAGCGAAAGGTTGAGAAATGGCCGATGCCGACAGGTGGGCAATGGGCGTTGGAGCCGTGGTAAGCATGAACCGATCACTGACACTGACCAGATAAGATGCTTCGTGAGAAGTGGAAGTCAGGAATACATCGGTGGGATCAATTTCCAAGCAAATGTGTAAACATAACGCCGTTGGTAGGTTTGGACGGGAAACGAACAGGTGGTGAGGGGGTCGGTGCTGTGCCTAGGTACTTATCTTATCGGACAGAAACCAGCCTACGTGTTTATCGTCAAAACCAGGCTATTCCTATATGCATATGCCAGAACTTCAGTGCATGGCACTTGAGGTCCTACATACTCCTGGCGGCATCAACACCAAACGGGAAAGCATCCAAACCGCAATCATCACGATTCACGGGACAGACCGGAGCGCAGGGTCGCCCACACCGGCTTCCAATCTTCTTGCCATTTATCATTTGCCTGGCGCACCATATTCCTTATGATCCTTACTAGTGTATAACTTGTAGTAATGTTGTTTTCCACCCCCAAATCGCGGTCGCGCCGTCAGTGGCTTCTCCCGCTCGTCGCCATCACTACCTCTCTAGCCACCCATGTTGCCGCAGCCGAGATAGCTCCTCATGAGCTGCCGTCTTACCACTATGGCGCTCCCATTCGTGTGGAGTGCATGAACCGCAGCTCGTAAGCTCCATGTCCCTTTTGTCCTGTCCTGACACGGCTTCTTCCTTATTTCGTCCCATCGCATTTCTCCTACCTTCCGACTGTGCTAACCGCCCAATGCCACAGAGAAACCGGCGAACATATTGAAACCCCCGCCCACGAGATCCAATGGATCCCCTTCCCCATGTGCGAAGAAACTAAAGCCCCCCTCGAATTCAACTACGGCATCGAGACCGAGCAGAACTGCACGATCCCCATGATCGACGACCCCTTCTTCCACCTGCTCGAGTTCTACATCCACTCCGACGCTCCTCTAACCTGCCGCCTTCCCGCGCGCCCTCCCCCGCAAGTCGAGATCGTAGGCGAGAAACCCCACGTTACCGAATACGTCCCGCTGGTCTTTGCGCTGGCTGGCACGTTACAACTCAGCCATATGCACATCTCGACACACATGAACGTGCTGTTGCATTCCACGCCAAAACATCATTTGCACAAGAAGGATTCAGGGGTGTTGGATAGCGCTACGGCCTACTCTACCTCTCCCCTGACGCACATGGAGGGAAGCTCTACGAGGAGACTGGTGATTGGGGACCCCCTACCGCTGCAGTTTTCCGTCAGATGGTTCCCGACGCCGGAGCTCCCACGAGTGGAGGGGAAGGTGGAGTGGCAGGGCATGGGAGGACACATTTACGCCAGCACCGTGTTCTACGCCCTGTTGTCGTTTGGAGCGGGCGTGTGTGTGAGCAGTGTTTGGTTCTTTGGGAGCGTGTTGCCGCAGAGATTGAAGGGGAGGAGCTTGGGAGGAGCGACCCCATTAGGATACGGTGCGGGCGTGGGTAATGGTTGGGGTTATCAGCCTGGGAAGAGGGCGGATTGATGTGATAGATGTCGATACGATAATGTAATGTTTCTTTGTCCTTGACGCTTGATGGACGACACCCTGGGAGTCGAGGCGTATGCGAGATCGCGGCCGTGTTCACCTCGGTGTACACAGTACACACCCCCTAGTCTGCAGGGGTCAGGGGTAGCTTGCCGTTTACGCCAGCCGATTGGGCATCACTGTCAGCTTTCCAATTTGGGGAATCTGGGGTCAACAATCTTTCTAACGCGCATCGCTTTCCGTCCTTTCGCAACCACCATCGTTCATTCGTCAAGACAGGTGAAGGACCCCCGATCAACAAACAAAATGGCCGTCTACAACGAATCCCGCCTGAACTACGTCTGGCTGGCGTGGTTTGCGCTGTCGATCCCCATCATTCTTTGTACGTTCCCTCTTGATATCAGCTGCCAGGCTCGGCCTACCCGAGACAACCGGAACCATATCCGTCCCTACGCTACCTCCAAAGTCACTAACCTCACCCCCTCCTAGTCATCGATGCCCTCCACTTCTACCCTTCGTCCTGGTACTCCTCCCCCTCCGCCCCGCTACACATCTTCCACCTCGCCCGCCAAGACTACATCGCCCAATACAACGACCCCATTGTTCAGTGGTCTCCTTCCACCTCCGTCCCGGGCTCCCACGACTCCTGGATCGGTTTGTTCTTGTATCTCGAATTCGGCTTCACCTTGCCCGTGGTGCTCTACGGATTCTTTCTGTTGGCAGTGAAAAGAAAGGGAACCACGGGACGGGATGAGCTCCTTTTCCTCGTGTATGCGCTGGAGACGGCCTTGACGACGTTGGTGTGTATCTACGATGTCGGGTATTGGGATCCGGCCGTTTATAGCGAGGAGGCGAAAAGGACCATGGTTTTGCAGTTCTTTGGGCCGTGGTTTTTGGTTCGTAAGTTGCCTTGTCTTTTATAGGTAATCAATCAAAGAGATGCTGACAAGAGACAAACAGCCAGCATCATGGCTGTTGACATGGCTAGGAGGATCCTGGGGAGGATCAAGGTTGCTGATGAGGCTATGGAGGAGAGGCAGAGGAGAAAGGGGCAGTAAATCCAGACTCCCGTGGTTCGATTTCCATGCCGTGCTTGTTTCAAGTAAACCGAGCAACCATGCTTTCCACACATGTCAACAAATTGGAGGATCACACACATGGCCGTTCGAATCATGCAGTAAATTACTCATTTTTTTGTCTAAGCTGCACCGGGGTATCATTCTATGTAACACCGCCGCCTTCCTTTTTGAGTGTACATCCAGAAAAACGAAAATTCAACATAAGACGCTTGTGTAAATAGAAATTACAAGGCATGGTGTACATGCCCGTTCCATCGTTCCCTGTTCATATCCAATCCACTCCTCATCCATCGTTCGTAACCCGTAACGTACATCAATCCTTCCATTATACCATCCCCTTAACCCATGATACCCGTTCCAATCTTCTTCCAGATACTTGTAGGCTCCTCGACCTCATCGGGGATCTCGGCATCCAGATCCAAAGACCCAGTAGTAACATCCATGTCCTTGGCCGAGACCGGCTTACACGCCGCGGCGCCGTGGACAATGAGGGTATAGAGCTTGTGGCCCAGGTACATGACGGCAAAAAGGATGAGCGAGACGTACGCCACGAAAAATTCTTCGACGCTCCAGGGCATGAACGCGGTAAAGCCTTGGGTCAGGGTAATCAGGATGCAGAAGAACAGGGCGTAGTAGACGTAGTAAGGGGCCCAGGTGGCGCGATAGGGCAGCTTGGAGCGGGGGATGCCGTGCGCCTCAAGACCCTTCATGAAGCGGAGGTGGGCGATGAGGATGCCGGACCAGGCGATGAAACCCGCGACGCCCGAAATGTTGAGAAGCCAGTCGAAGGCCTGGCTGCCGTTGGGAGAGAGGTTGAGGAAGCCGAGGAAACCGAACGCCGAGGTGAAAACGACGGCAACCCAGGGGACGCCGGACTTGGTGGTCATCTTGAACCACTTGGGGGCCATGCCGTCGTTGGCAAGGGAGACGAGGACACGAGAGCCCGAGTAGACGTTGGAGTTGGCGGCAGAGAGGACGACAGTAAGCAAAACAGCGTTAATGATGTCGGGTAGGACCTTGACGCCGGCGAGCTGGGCCGCAATGACAAAGGGAGAGGCAGCCGCGGTGTAGCCGCCATTGTTCAGGTCCTTGTTGTCGTAGGGGATGAGGATGCCGATGAAGAAGACGGTCATGATGAAGAAGAGGAAGATACGGTAAAAGGTCATGCGGATCGCACGGGGGACGTTGCGGCGCGGGTCTTCGGTCTCGCCAGCAGCGATACCGACAAGCTCGGTGCCCTGGAAGGAGAAGCCGGCCTGGATCATGACGGACCAGAAACCAACCCATTTGGCGACGGGGCGGCTGGGGTCAACAATGTAGGGAGCAAAAGCACCCGGCTCGTGCCAGTACTTGAAGCCAATGTAGCCCTGCTGACCGGCGCCGGCGTTGATGCAAATGCCGAAGATGAGGAAGCCGAGGACGGTGATGACCTTGACAGAGGACATCCAGAATTCAGCCTCGCCGTACCAGGACACGGGGAACAGGTTGATGACGAAAATGACGACCCAGAAGATGGCGATGAAAATACCGATGGACAGAGAGTCGTCCCAATATTGAATGATCAGACCAGTAGCAACCAGTTCGAGCGCAAACGTAATGGACCACGAAAACCAGTAGATCCACGACATGGAGAAACCGAGAGAGCCGTCCACGAAGCGAGCCGCGTACGTGGTGAAACCGCCGGTAACGGGGACGTAGGTGGCCATTTCACCGAGGGACATCATGATGCTGTAAACAATGGAGGCGATAAAGCAGTAGCCGATGAGGACGCCAGCAGGGCCCGACTTGGCGAGGGCGCTGCCGGAACCGATGAAGAGACCAGTACCAATAGTACCACCTATGCTGTCAGTCAGTCGGTGTCCTGCTGGAGAGAAAATTGCATCCCGAGTCACATACCAATGGCAATCATTTGCAAATGGCGAGACTTGAGCCTGCGCTTCAGCTCGGGACCGGCGTTGTGCTCGGCGAAGGAGGCCGCATCGTCATCAGCGGCCGACTGTTCCTTGACAAAGTCCTTTTTGGTTGCGCTGCCGGGTGGCGATCCGGCAGCGGAGGAGCCAGGACTCGCTGGCGCCGGCGGCGTACTTTCTCGCACCGCCATGTTTCTTTATCTGTGTGTCTTTGTCGCTCAGCTGAGGGTTGCTAGGACAGTCGTTGTCGGGCGGTGCGGTGTGGGTTGGGGTCTTTGCGCTTCTTGAGCTCAAGATGGGACGAGAGGGAATTGATGTCGTCTGGAGGTGTGGCGAAGAGACGGCGAGGACCGGACGCGCTGGAGTTGGACCCTTCTGCCAACTGCGTCTTTAAGGTTTCGGCCAGGGCAGAGTTGTGCAGGACAAGTGGAATCGAGGAACGTGGCTG